GCTTGATACAAAAATAGAATTACTAATCCAAATAGTGCCCTAACTTCAAGTGAAACTGTGGCTGTGTGTAACACATTTTCTTTATTTACACCAAAAATGCGTTATTTCAAACGATTATACCACCAAACCAGATTGTTCAAATGATCCAAAAAAACCTCTACATTGTTGAGAAAGATAAGGAGAATAATGTAGAGGTTTTTTTAGGTTACCTAGGTAGCTGGATCTGATGGTATAATCGTTTGAAAACTGCTAAAAATCTGGTTACGGTTTTGGTCCGCACGAACCATACTCGTTGGAGGGGTCGGGGGCTAATGCATATAGGTACAATATATACCAGAGTGGTTCCAATCCCCACTCCCAGCCATTAATAGGAACCGGAGACTAACGGTACACTGCCAACCTCAGCACTATCTAACCCAACCACGATACCCAACCCCCCCACCACTTGCCCATAAATACATAATAAATGTGTGCAAAATCATAACCCCCACAATACCACGTCTAAACAATAACAACCTCAACAACGGCGCTCCTCCCCGCCTTCACAACCCCGATCGCCTCTCCCAGGACACCAGCCAACTCCTCCGCCTTCTCCGCCTTCCCGCCCCAAATATCCCCTCCGCCCGCCGCAACCGCGATACCGGCATAATCCGGACCAGGCTTGAAGCTAATGTTCAACTCCTCGTGCGTGGCATGCGCACTGAGCCCTTCCGGGTGCACCAGTTTCGCGGATCGTAGCGGAGCGTTCCAGCCATCGTTGTTGATAACGATGGTTAGGAATGGGATCCTGTAGCGGCGGGAGATCCAGTACACTGATGCTGGCACCGAGAATAGGAATGTGCCGTCACCGACTATTGCTACGACAAATGGGCCAGAGTTGGGGGTGCCGTTGTCGAGGGCGAGCTTTGCACCTAAAGCGGCCCCGCCGAACCAGCCAACTGGGTATGATAGTGTCAGCTTCTACGCTAACAGTAGAGAGGGGAGGGGGGACATACGCCCTCCGGCGCCGGAACCGAATATAGTCTTTGGCAGTGAGCACTTCATTTGATCTACCACTGTGACAGTCTGGGTGACTGCTTCTAATATGATGACTGAGTCTTGAGGAATAGCGTCTCGGAGGGTTTTCATCACATGCGCGCAGGATAGCAGTCCGTCGTCGCGGGGCTTTGCCTGCTGCTCTAGTCTGGCCATGCGCGCCTCGTGTTCATCCGCTAGCACCTGAATTCGCGCATAACGGGTGGCTGCGTCCATTTTCATTACTGACGTGTGAGTGTTTATTTGTTTTAGCGCTGTGCATGCATCGGCGCGGTAGCGAGCGTCCGCGTCAATGTAGAAAAGGGGCATTTGCTGTTTTAGCGGATCCACATCAATGTGGTAGACCGCCGCTCTGGGAGATGGCTTGCACCTGCCAGCAGATTCATGTAAGCCCAATAACATAAAGCAGTGATGAAGGAAAACTCACAGGGTAGGGATCCAAGGAACGTCGCAATCAATCACCAAGATCACATCCGCCGTGGAGATCTTCTCATGAGGGCCATACATGAGACCTAGTGAACTCCTGTGATTCGCCGGGAAACACATATCACTACCCAATGTATCCAACACTCTCAATCCAGGTACGGAATCGGCCAGCGTGATCAGTTCCTGAACTGCATCTTTGCTCCGCCCGGAGTAGCCGGTGATAACCAACGGATTCTCAGCGGACAATAAACTCTGCGAGATTCTGCTCACGGCATCCCCCGTGAGGGCTGCAGGGCCAATAGGGTCCCAGACAGCCTGGTTAAGACTATAAGGTTCAATGTCCTCTTCTAAAACCTCCCTTGCAGCAGTGAGGTACACAGGGCCTTTGGGGTCAGACATGGCAAAGGACAATGCGCGATTGACCATCTGCTTGATGTTCTTTCCAGTTTTGATCTCAGCAGAGTAGCGGCAGTACTGCGCTACTACCGCCTTCTGATCCGGCACATCCTGGTTGTATTGGCTGAATTCTGTCCTGCTACCGCGCATTTCGCCCTCCAGTGTAAAGGGCGAGAGACCGGCAAATATGAGGACAGGAACCCGGCCGCACGAGGCATTGTGAACGGCAGCTCCGAGACCTTCAATGCTGCGTCAACAAGATGCTACTCTAGAGGAATGGCTGGGTTGGGCGGGGCTACCCTGTGTCCCTACGTCGACATGAACAATAACAGCCTGGGGCTTTCCAGTGACTTGCGCCATTCCATGAGCTGCGGACAAAGCGACCATCTAGAATCCCCCGATTAGACCTTCAATAACCCAACCCTCGGCCATAGGCCTAAGCAATTACCTCATTTGGGCAAGTAAGAAACTCCGGGAAACTATGGGGCTTCTCGCGTTTCCCCTTTACCATCGCCTCGAGAATACCTGTGGCCATCCCCAGGTCATCAATCACATGCCCTCACACAACCGAGAGATGAAAAATAAAAGCCATATCATACTTGGGTGATCAGATCCCAAGTTCACAAAGCAATGGGTGACCCCCGCCTCCCATAACGCTTCGAAAAAGGCGAACGAAGCGGTATACCTGTCATTCAACTATCATCAGCACCACCATGTATTTCCCGCCTATCGATAAGAAGAGTGAAATGTCTTGGGAGGTGCAGGTTGCCTACATGCTTAGCTGATCTAACCGGTTTCGCGTGGCAAATGAATTTATTTCAACGGATAATGAACGAGGGGGAGAATGGGAAAGGGGAAAGGGGTGAAGCGAGAGTGAAAGGGGTTATATAAAGGGAGCCAGTGGGTGGGTACTCGAGTGCCATACCCGTAGTCTATTATACTTGTGTGCACAGTAAACTAAATTTACTCTACCAGTGCAAGCTGTCATGACGACACCCTTTTGGGGCCGCTCGTAGCCGAGATGTGAGACAGGAGGAGCCGGGGGTGGTTAGGAAGGATGTCACGAGGTCAGGCCGGGCCCTGCTTAGTCTAACTTTAGGGGAGCTTGGGCTTGTTGGAACAGGAACCCTGGTGTACGGGTACTATGTTTTTCCGATACTTCTACCGCTTTAGGAATGTTGAATCTTTCCAGTTAGTATCCTAGCGGCATGGAGCTTTGTGAGTACGGTACAAGTACTCGTATTGGCAAGCGGACGGGAATTGTACTCGTACATCGGTAGTCTAGATGGAGCTGCACCTGTTCCCCCCACCTTCCTGCTACGGTTTACCGACGATAACCAACACAGCGGCTCAGGAGCACCGGCATCCATAGAGGGAATCCGCAATAGGTGAAGTCCGGGACCAAAGTAACCACGAAAAATCCCAATCCCAATCCCAACCCCTCCATAACCGTAAAGGCACCCGCAGCCTGGAGGGTAAATTCCGTCACAATCACCATCACTAACAATTATGCCAGCTGAACTGCCCAATTAAACGGATAATTTCACAAGAGGTCGAGACCATCCATTTCATTTTTTTGTTTCTGATACACAACAGCTTTGCCCCCCGATCCCAAATTCCCCTCTCACCAGTTTATTCAACAAATAGGTGTCGTGCGTCAAAACGTAAATGTGTCCCAACCCGCGATGAAAGAAAAAAAAAGTGTAGTTTTTTTTTTGGTAAACTCCGGAAAGAAATGTGATAGAAAACTATACGATCGCCAGCTTGGTAGCAGCGATATCGAGAGCATCGACGTCTGGAGTCAGACGGGCGAAAGCCTTCTTTGTGCCATTGGGTCTAAAGCACCGCCAACGTCAGTTCCCGCTCCTTGTTTTTGAGAGGGAATTCTCCCCATCCCCTGCAGGAAAGATATTTTGCCCAACGCACCTGATTAGGGTGTTGACCTTAACGGTATCAACATCGTACAACTTCTTGATAGCATCCTTAATCTGCCTCTTGTTGGCCTTGATGTCCACAATGAACACCAGGGTGTTGTTCTCCTCAATCTTCTTCATAGCGCTCTCGGTGTTGAGAGGGTGGACAATGACTTTGTACTGGTCGAGCCTGGGGGCATGAGGGATTGACTTGCGGGGGTACTTGGGCGCACGCGCAAGCGAGAGGGTCTTCGGGCGGTGGAAGGTAGTGCTGGTGCGGACCTTGCGGGTGATCTTCCCGTGGGTCCCCTTCAAAGCAGCCTTTTTGGCGTCGGCAGCCTTCTTGGAGGCAGCGGGGGTTTTCGGACCTATAGCATTCGGACCCTCACGTTAGCTATTTTGCTTCTCCTTCTCCACCAGCATCGTCATCACCATCCCCCGTAGAATTGTAGATTGTTGATGGAATCTGGAGCACCAATTACCCTTTGATACTGGTTTTGGCGCCATTTGGTTCTCGAAGTCGTCGTAAAGGCAAGGGGGAGGGAGGGCGGTATCGTTTGGCGTTGGTGGTCGTCGTAGCTGTGCTGTGGTTGCTGGGCAGGGAAACTTCGTGAGTTTCCAGAGTGAACTGTGACGTGTGTGGGGGGACTGCTTAGGGCTGAACCCTACCAGAGCAAAGCCGGGTAAGTTGATCTATTGTAGTTATGATACCTGTCGATGAAATACGGTACCATTACCTGAAGTGATGGAGAACTCAAATTCCTAATTTTATGGGGGGGAATTGGGAGTTCGCTTGGGGTAAGTTCGGGTATAATCTCCAGACTGATTCCATTTTCGTCATCTTTCGTCGCCCACAACGGTAGATACAGTATCATCCCATAGAGCATTCATGACTACCACAAATCACTATCCATCACTCGACCACAAACATCTGGACTTCAATTTCATTTCGTTTCCGAAGCACTCGTTGGAGTGTACAAGGTAGGGTTACAGATGAGCTACTGGTACAAATTTCCCCCCAACTATTTGCCTCAATCCCCTTCCACCACGCATGAAAGAAAACAAAAAAACAGATTTGACAAGAGTCTACTCCGCCACTGACCAATCACCAGATTTAAAAACTGCGCTTGTATGATAATCCCCCATTGTCCTTCTTCGCCCCCTCCTAATGCTATGGAATATCGGTAATAATAATAATAAAAAAAGACGTCCAATGCCAAACACCAAAGCAACACAAGCCAAAGTAACCGAATCCATCAACAGAAGAAATTAAGAAAAACAAAACCCGATTTTACAACGACATACCCGCAAAAGAATTCAACCCCTTCCTCCCCCTCCTAATCCGTTCCTCAACCTCCAACTTCTTCCTCCTCTCGCGTTCATAAAACTTCCTCGCGCGCTCCTTCTGCAAGAAGACAAGCACACCCCAGAATTCGCTACCGAGGGCGAGGGCAACAAACGTGAGTAGGGTGCGCTCGAGCAACTGATCCCTTGGCAGAAGGACCGCCGCGATGGACAGGAGCACACCGGCACAGGCGAGAACTGTTCGGCTGAGGCCTCGGCTTGCCTTGTCGCGCTGGGCGACGCAGCCGGCTGAGATCAGGGACGCGGCAGTGGGGACATTGGGGGTGTCCTGGAGTTTTGTTGCCACGGCTAGACACGCAACAAGCAGGTTAACGCGCCAGAGGACGCCGGCCCATCCTGGGTTTGGCCGGGCACGGATCGGGAGCTCTGGTTCGTCATCAAGTTTCAGACCGGGGCCGAAGAGGCCTTCTAGACCGGTTTGCTCGTCCTCCACAAAGAGCTTTTGGTTAGCTAGGGGCGGATAACCGCTTCCAAGGGTGTAGGTTGGGTCGGAGAGTTTGGCGAATTCGGGAGATGCTCCGGTTGGGCGGGGGTGGAAAAATTGCTCCTTTTCTAGCTGCGATCTTATGGGCTTTACCGGAGCCGGGTGCATGAGGGAGCTGACATATCTGTGGCTTGGGGGTTTTGGTGCCGGCGGGAGTGCACCGGTGAATGGCGACTTATATTGCCGTTGCTGCTGTTGCGGCTGAGGTTGGGGTGACTGCCGGTTAAAGGAAGAGGTAAATGGTGGTTGAGGGATTGGTTTCTCCCAAGGCGCATCGTCTCTGTCGGTCGGGTTCCAGTCCATGGCGTCAGGAGACCAGGATCCCTTCTTTCTGTTAAGAGCGGGGGAGGGCGACGGCGAAACTGAACCGTCTCGCATTGTGAAGGCAGATCGGAAGTCGGTTTGTGGCGAATATACTGTGCTTGCTCCAGTTGTGGGCGGTATCAACTTCTTGAGCGGTAGACGTGGAGTCGTAGGGCTGCCTTGCATGGATTGGTAGTTCGGTGGTCTCGGCTGACAGCTACCTTTCATCGTCTCCTGCGGAGGTGACGATGGAGGTGATGGAGTCGCGGAAATTGGCATTGGTTCCCGCAGCGAGAATGATGGAGGATTTTCCAACTTTAGACAAGAGAGGGAGCCTAGCGTCGACTGCGATGGGAGGGTTAGGATAGCTGAGGGGTAAAAGGGTGGAGGGAAAACCTGCCATGATAGAGAAGAAAAAGATCCCCAGATATACCCTCAACATCATATCTTCCGAGAAGGTCAACTTGAAATACGCAAAAACTACCCAACATGCCATTCTGAATGCCCAGACCCCTATTTCCATCCAAAGGTACTCATTCGAGCCAACCAGTTTCTTCTCTGGATGCTTCTGCAGCGAGCTCTCCCAGTAGACCCAAAAGAATCCGAGAATACTCCAAGGCAAGAATTTGAGTGCGTGTCTCGAGGCCACCTCATAGCAATCCGGGACAGGCTTCGAATCCTCAAAGCTGCGCGAGAGACAACCGACCCAAGTCCCCCCGCCATCCGTCAGCACCATTCCGACCGCTCTCTCTGGGAACAACATTGCCGTCCCCGCCCATGCCGCCACGATAAAATGGGAATAGCACCACACGCCACCCCTCAACACCCAAACAAGCCTCTCGAACAAGCCCCAGGAGTTCGCCTTCTCCTCCCTTGTCCGAGATGGATCCCCACTCCTAGCGAGCATCTGTCGCAAACTCTCCACCTTGACCTTATAGTTCTTGGAGCGGATCTGCTCATTGGCTCTCGGCGCACAATCCGCACAAACCAAAGGAAATCGCTCTTCCAGCTCTTTCTGGAAGCGCGGAAAGAGGACGTTGATGTGGTAATCGAGATCGGGGTGGTCGTCCGGGGGCAACTCGTAATCTCCGATTCGCGTGGACACGATTTTCTGGTTGTTCAGACAATCGCGACAGAAGATGGGCGACGCGGGAGGCTCTTCGTAGGTGGCTTTCGACGTAGGCGAGTGCCGTTTGCGGGCGAATCGTGGTGCCGGGCCCTCGGGGGTGCTTGGGACGAAATCCCTGATCTCACCATGCTTCGTGAAGTCAGCGGAGCCGGGTTCGGGTTAGGAGCGGGTTCGGAGGTAGGAGACTTACCTCGTCAAAATGATTCGGATTGCCACACGAGGGGCAGACAAAGTAAACGACACTCCCGTTCAGAGCTCTCCTCGCGCCTGCCAATGATGGGGGTTTCTGGCCACAACCCCAACAAGCCGGGTTCCGATTGAAGAGCAACGCCCTCACCATGTCGAGCGCGCGCTCTGTTGTTGTGGGAAGTTACGATGGCGGTGATGCACTGCAGTTGAACCGAGAGAAGGAAGAAGGGTGGTGTTTTTATTCGCTTTTTTTATTTTTTTGTTTGGGGCGAATTGGTTGTTGCCTCACTGGTCGGGGATAAAAAGGGAAAACGGAAGAAATCAGCCTCAAAAAAAAAACAAAAAAACTCGGGGGAGTGGTCCGTGTCTTGGGGAAGAGCAGGCTTCCACGGCACTCACGGCCAGAGGCTTCAATAATTTAAGCGAATCGACCAAACGGAGGCACAGGGGGGAAACGAATCTCTTTCTGCCCTGGTGCGGGTGGCTGGTTTCCCATTCACGCAAGGCTCTGTAACCTGTGGCCCTACCCTATCATCTCACGGGCCGCCTTGATGGTTCTCGGGCGCCATAGAAGCATTATGATTACGGCATGAGTACAGTACGAGGATAGCCTCTTCCTTCCATCTCCTGCCCTAATCACGCGGTCCCTCACACCGATCAAACAACACGTCATCCCAAGCATCACGACATCGCATACGCTCATCACCACCACTCCAACGTATCGAGCAACACCATTCATCATAGCCCCAATGCCAAAGCAAATCACAACGGCCCCTAAAATAGAGCACACAGAAGAAGAGAAGGAGGGGAAAGGAAGGAGATAAAGGATAAAAGAAGAAGAATAATAATAATCCAATATCACCCCGTCCAGGAGGATCTTATGGCACCAGCAGCGCTCTCGTCTTCCGTGATTCCACAAATCCAACTACTCCAACCGCCAAACCCCAGACACATGGCTTGGCTCATCCCGACTGTGTGTTGACCTGAACCACTCACATCAGCTCCATAAAAAGCCCCTGGAGGGGAAAACACTCACAACACTATCCTCCTCAATAACGGGCTTCCATTCACTCGCCTGGATCGAAACCTGGTTGACAGCTTCGTGAGGGGCATAGACGGAAAAGCCCTTGATGATCTTGTACTGATGAGTGATTCGTCCTCCCTGAAAACATCTTTAGCCTTTCCTCGCGCCTCCTAGGGTTGGGGGAGGGGGTTTTCCCACGTTGGCCTTCACGGTAGCCATGGCCTCCCGGATAACGCTATCCGGAGTATCGGGCTGGAAGGTGACAATGTAGTTGACGCTCTTTGCAGCTGCTGCGAGAGCAGGCAGGAGCAGAGCCACAAGATACTTGAGCTGCATTTTGTGGTCGGGGTTTCTCGATTCCTTATCTCTCTCCGAACTGTGGGCAGAGGGGAGGGGTGCAGGGGGAAGTGGAGTGAAGTGAAATATTGGGCTCTCCGGCACCGGTACTTGTATGTGTAGTGGCTTGAGGTTCTGTGCTCGGGTGGGTAGACTATTGTATAGCGGTGGCCTATACTATGGGTTAGCGCTTTCACTTTGGGATGAAGAGCTGCGGAGCGACGGGCGGCAATGCTCGAGATGATGATTTACAGTAGACTACAGAGTGCCCGTAGTATCATAGCACAAACGGGCCGTTATGCTTGCAAGGGTGAAGGAGGAATGAATGCTTGCGTCATCCCGTACTGTTTGTTACCGCTGGTTCAGTACATCGGGGACCTTGGCACATGACCTTGAGTACCCTAACAGCACTGTAGACTACTCGTACACTCAATCATCTCTCCGCGATGGGGGGGATCGCTGGGGGGTTATGAGTAGAAGAATTTGACACCAATTTTTGCGTAGAACCAATCCTACGCCAGCGCTGTCACTCTAAATGGCTCGAATCCAAATTATACCCGTATGGCGGGGCAATCTTTCTTGGGAGGAGACTCCTGGGCTTCAAATGCCGGTATGGCCAGTCGTTGGAAGAGTGTGGTTACTGTTGTCGGCGCAATACGGGCCACGGGCCGTGATTGGGAAACTGCTTACGCACCGGCACTCGAGTGACTATTTAATTTACGCAAGTTACCGCTATATATCAATGATGAGACTGCGGTGTTCCTCCCACCTGTCTTGGCCTATGTTACCGGTCCATGTTCTGCGCTATTGGCACATTTCTTGCATTGAATAAGCTACGCCGGCACTTACTCGGGTGCTGTTGTTTGCATTGTAAAATATTTATCAAGAGCTTGTCGGCTGGTTCAGGAATGTCGTGAGCGTTGTGAGCTATCGCAGAACCACCATAACACCGTTAACACCGCCGAAACTTTTATCTCGTAAGGCCAAGTCGTGTTGCCGTGATCACGATATGCGAGTATTTCCTAGGGCATCTAACAGTTCCCTCCCGTCCTCGCCAATCATTGGTTTCCCGGCCTCTTCGATTGCCCCTTCCGGCACCTCCTCTTCTTCGCCTTCCTCCTCTTCCTCTTCTTCACCATCCCCGTCCACGTCGTCACCCTCGTCCTCGGCCTCGGCCCCCTCCCTTCCCCCCACCGTATCCTCTGTTTCATTGTTATCCGCCAGGGGAGCTACTTCCTTCATATACTTCTCCAACTCCCTTGCCTGCTTCCTCGAAAACCCACTCGCCTCAACGAGCACATCCAACTTCCCGACCCTCTTGACATCACTCCAAAGTGGCCCGTCATCGTCAGCGGTATACCTGAACCGCTTCTTGAAAAAGTCCTTGATACACTTGACGTCCCGCTCAAAATATTCCTTGGCATTAGCATGATCCACGCTGACCATCTGGGGGAAGTCAATGACGACAGGCTCCCGTGTATCCTCGTGGACAAGGATGTTGAACTCGTTAAAGTCACCATGGATAAGGCCCTGCGAGGCAAAGCGTAGAATGAGTTCCATGAGTTTTGCGTAAAGCGTTGAGGGTGATGCCAGGGTTGAGATTTGACGAAGGGGAAAAGCGTCGATTAGTGTCATTACTATGCAGTGACGGGCTTGGTCCAGTGGGACTGGAACCGGGAAGCTGTTCTCGTGCAGGATCTTCATGAAGGCGTACTCCTTTAGTGCCGCTAGACGTGACATGTACATCCAGCTACCGCTGTGTCGGTTACGGAGGTAGTCACGGTTGGCCTTTACGGTGCGGAAGGAAATCCTACCCAATCTATTCCGCCAAATTGAAGGGTTAGCAACGCATCCTGTAGTGGATCATGGAGAGGAGAGGGAAATGGCGCACCGGTGAATCTTCAGAACTCTCTGAGTGCCCGTCTCGTCGGCGACAACATAAATATCCGACTCCTTCCCAACACCAATCTGGTTCCCGACCGAATAAACGCTCTTTCTCTTCGAGAATGTGTTTAGTGCGAGATAGTCCAACCCGCCGTACGTCAGTCGGTAGCCATCATCTGCTCCTCTCTATTAGCTTCCTTCACGGCCCTATGGACACTGGGTGGTTCCGGAAAAACATTTCGCATTTTTAACCCTCCCAATAAGTCCCACCTTTGCCAGGCTCGATATGCACTTATTAACCCCACTCACACCTCTCAGACCGGATATTTGCGCGATCAATGCCGTGGGGACGACTTCATGATTCTTGCTGCCCATTTCCACCTGCCCAAAGGTCAGATACTTGCTGCTTGGACGGGTGTTGGAGGGGGGAGAAGGAAGAGAGCTTACGGCGGTAAGGACACGCCAGTCCTCACCCGTGAGGTATCGTATCGCATGTGTGTCGAGCTTCATATCTGTATGTATGGTCGGAACAGGTTGGGAGATGTGTCAATGAATGGTGGGATGAATCTTTTATGAGGGGGATTTGGTTCTTGGCAAGGTGAAAGAGCCGCAAAACCGCGAACCCTTGCCTTACAGGGAAAAAATGAGGAATCGAGTGATTTTGAATGATTAGATGCGCCCTGGAGCTGGTTATGGATTCTTGATCTCGACCTCGGATTTCTGGAAGTATTATGCCGGCTGGGCTCCGACCACGTGCGGAGAACGCACTTGGAACGCTATCGCAAGACACGGGCTGGGGCTTTTCATAGAAACCGGCAGATCACAAGCGAATTGAATCATCGTCCGATCATAGACGAAAGTTACTCGAGTATCTTGCATAGCCGGCACTGGAAGGCGGGCTGGGCTGCCGCAGCTGTGTAGCAATTTGCCTGCTTTGAACGGCTCAACAGAGCCTTTTTCTACACCCAGCGGCGCTCCTGCTCATGGTCAGGACCTCAGGTCGGTCCCACCTTGACTTTTGCTCCTTCGCATCTCGAGCTATGGGGGGAGGATGTGCTATATTTGTTCGTGCGTGTGGTATTTTCGGAGGAAACTTTTAGTAGGGTTAGGGTAGGCACTTCCGGGACACATACTGCCATCTTGGGCAGGGTGGCGTACAGAGTCTCCTCAACAATGCCTCATAATTCACTGAATGATTGACCGGTACATGTGGCCGTTACACTGGTTTAGTTCATGAGCTCATGGGAGAGATTTAGAAACAAAGGGACCGATAGGGACCATCTTAAACATTAGTGATCGGCAAGTTTAGAGCTGTATTATCGCACACTCTCTCCTAGCAAACCTGACTTCTCTGATAACTAGCTAATATAATGCACGCTATGGCATGTATCTAACACTGGCCCACATACTTTGCTCGGCGTTTGTCGGCGCTTCCGCAATCAAACCGCTGAGGCCCTGGGGCACACCTGGACTCGGGTTCGCTGCACGACCAGGAGCTTCATCCTTTGGAATAGGGTGATGTAAGAGAAATAATAACATGACGGATAGAACTCACTAGGAGGCCAGCGCCCTGTTGGGATTCCCAATTATTCAGTTCCCCCCCCCCCTTTTTTTTTTACTGTTAGTTATCCGAACCTTTATGAAATGTTGAAGTCGTTAGGCCGGCCCCTTACAACCTGTAGGGCTCAGAACAGGGACTTCCGCTCATTTCCCGTTGATGAATAAGCGGTAGCTGGCCCAGCATTATGGTCGCCTCTTGCTCTTTGGGTCTCACCAACAGCCGACACTGCAATTCATATCTGTAGTCTCCGTGATAAGTAGAGTGCGGGGTACTGGCGAGAACTCCCGAATAGCTTGCGAGCCTTGCTGAGCATCGGAAAAGGACTATAGCTACAGTCCAGAGCCCCCCGATAATCCATCGCAGTCCTCCCATCCCACTAGAGGGGTCTCTCTCTACAAGAATACCATAGCTTTGGAGCGGAGTCAAAATGCCTAGCACAGGAGACTTCGTCTATATTAGCACTATGCTGGAACTCGCGGACTGGCGACCCGAGGACGTCAAGATCCAGGCCTCCAAAGTCTCGAACACACCCCTGCTCCACCGCCCACCGCCCCCGCCTACTTCCCCACTCCCCACTCACCCTCGGACGACAACGCTACCGCCACCAATTCCCAACCTCCTGAGCTGCCATGACTATAAAGGTGGCTACCATCCTAGTGAGTCTGCCCAAGGTCAGTTCCCCGCCCCGTCAGGGCCGATTTACACGGCAGCTCATCTCCACGTCATCGATACCTTCGTTTACTTTTCCCATAGCCTCGTCTCCATCCCACCGGGCCCATGGATAAACACGCTCCACCGGAACGGCGTCCGGGTCCTCGGTACGTTCATAGTCGAGCACGATGCCGGGTCTGCTGCTCTCTCCCGACTGCTGGATAAAGGCTCGGAGGGAGAGTACATGTTCGCGACGCAATTGGCGCTGATTGCAGAAACCTACGGGTTCGACGGGTGGCTGATGAACATCGAGGCATCGTTTCCTGCCGAAGGGTTCAGGCCAAGCGAGTTGCAGGCGTTCCTTAAAGAGCTCAGAAGCGCGGTGGCGGAATTGGTCCCCGGCGGGCAGGTGATATGGTATGATGCACTGACAGTGCTCAACCAAGTGCACTGGCAGAACGGACTTACTTTGCTCAACGCGCCGTTTTTCGGCGTCACTGGCGGGTTATTCACGAATTATAGGTGGCGGGAGCCGCAGTTGGAGGCTACGAGGCTCATGGCCAACTATATGGGTCGAGTGCCCGATATATACACTGGGATCGACTGCTTCGGCCGGGGATCGCTGGGCGATGGTGGCTTCGGGGTCGGTAAGGCGCTCTCCGCTATCCGGAAGGCAGGGACATCGGCAGCGCTTTTTGCACCTGGATGGACGTACGAGCACTTTGACGGCAGGAATTTTGATTCCGTCGATCGGAAATTCTGGGTTGGTGATGGGGGCGACATCGAAAGCAATCCTGTGAAGCCGGTTTCGCACTTTGTCTCCGAGAAGGCATGTGGCGGTTCGGAATTCTTCTTCACAAATTTCAATAGGGGATTTGGAAAGGGGTGGTGGGTTGATGGAATTGTCTGTCTCACCCCACGAGCGCACTTTCCAACACCATGCCATGCTGATATAGAGTGTTTGTACAGAAAGTCATGAATACACCATGGGTGCACATCGGTGCGCAGTCAATCCTTCCGTCGAAGAATCCCCGGAACACGGATAAACTGAAGTGGTCGTTTAATGACGGGACGGCTTACTTTGGCGGCACAAGTCTGGATATTTCTGCTGCCGCCGGGCCCGTTGCCGGGGGAGTGGCTTTCTGTCCGCTATACTCCACGGCAATTACCGCGAATGAATCTTCGATCCGAGTGGCATACTTTCTCCCGGAGCGATCCCCTACTGAAGTCCTGGAAGGAGAGGTGGTAGGGGTATACTACACCTCCAACACTGCCCAGACACAGACACTACTGCCCCTACCCCAAACCCCCGGAGCCTGGAAGGTCATCACATTTGCAACCATAACTGCAGACCCCAACGAAAAAATAACAGAGCTGGGCATCTACTACAGGCACTCCCCCGCCGTTACCGCCCTTGGATTTAAAGTCCTAACCCTAGGATACCTCCACATCTCCCCGATACCAATCCTCCCCGAACGGCCATCCCGCATCACCGATGTAGTCTCAGCATCCGAAGAAGAGGGTGGTAGCACGAAGCTTAGCTGGAAGGCCTATAAACACGACTTTTCACCCGCTATGGAGAAACTGAGGAGCTTGCCTGGGTGCTTTAGTCGGAAGACGGGGGATTTCGCCAGTTTTCTTGTGTGGCGGGGCGGGGGGTTGGTGGGGGTTAGTTATTGCCTTGAGTATGATGTTCCGGCTGGAGTGGCCGTTGGTGATTGGAGGGTTGATGGGGTGATGTGGGGCGGGGGTATTGTTAGAGGTAGTGGGGGGAGATGAGTGATCCCTGGTGTGCGGAAGTGAAAGGAGAAGGGATTGTGAGGATCCTGATACCGGGTTTTTGAATTATATGATGGGGGGTTGACGGCAGCGACCATTAACCAGCTTTAAGTTGCTATACAAGATTGGTGGGTGCCCCGAAGCATAGCCCACTTGGAAATGGTAAGGTTGAAGCTTCCCTGGGGTGTGATATCAGAAACAGGACATACGGTACTCACTTCCCGCCTCTTCAAACTATTCGAAACATGACAAATCACCCTCCATCCAAAAGCGCTCTCATACACGAGCATCTCCCCCCAAGCCCACTCATTATGATATCATATCATAGAAAGAAATACACAAGCCCTGTTACCCCAAACGACCCATCCTCATACTGCCCCTCCTAGCCCACTCCTCCACCTCAACCCCACACATCATCCCAGTACCCCCCCCCACTCACTACTCCCAACCCACTCGTGCTCGGGGGTTTCGAACCCGCGAGTTCAGAACGCATGGCACCCAACGACTCTCCACTTCACCTATGATATACCGTCCCAACGTTAGCCCAGCGTTGCCCAACAGCGGTACGCGGGGCGTCATACCCGGTTGTCATGTCATACCGCTGGTGCGATATCGTGCTGGTTAAGGTCCGGCCATCATACGAAGTTCTGTGATACTCCAGATAACGGACTAACGATCAATTAGACCACTCGTAGAAGATCAAGAAAAAAGAGGAAGAAAAAAAATCTGGCGGGATAGTTACTGTTTCGTAAAACCCTATGTAAAACTCCTAAATCATCCCCGTCACGATGTACAATACTGTACACTCTCATCCGCAGGGTTCTCGCATCACAACACCCATTACCAGCCCGGCCCTCGGTGACTTCCACCGCCGATGTGAAGTCTGTGTGTCTGTCCTACCGCTGGGAACTGATCGCTTTTGTTGTTGGATTTACTTTTCTGGCGTAATATCTATTGTGTGCTGTGCTTCCCTATCTGATTGCACAATGTTATCAAGGATCAAATCGATCTTGTAGTGCATGCCAATTTCTGAATTCTGCAGCACAGCTGTGCGTGGATCTGATATTCCTTCTGCCTCCCTCTGTGTCCCTCTTTATTCTCCTCCACCCCCCAGCTCTTGGAAACTTAGACCCCCCGGTGCTTGAAGTCGACAACTACCAAAAGCGTTTACCATATCTGGCCACAGTCGGTATCACACTGGTACAGCAGCAGTGTTTAAATCCTACCAAGAGTCCTAATCAAGAGTTTATATGTAAAAATTGGTAAGAAATTTACCCTTCATCTGGCACGACGCCTAGAGTGTTCTAACCTGATCAAAAGGGCTTCTCGGGCTCGATAGCATTGGCATTTCTCCTGAGGATTTTTCAATTGAGTAGTATTATTATATGTTACGGTGATGCCCGGTGTATCCTCACAGTCCACCCTGTATGGAAGTGTCAGAATTGCACCTTTCAAACCTTTCACTCACAGCGGAGCTCCTCACCTGGAGAGTTTGGATTTGCAAATTGGGTTTACAATTGAGAAAATGAGTGGAGAGAGTTATGGCCAGGATGACCTTGCGTCCTTTTTTGTTATAGTAGGGATTTTTTGATTTTTCCTCCTTCCTCCAATTCCCTCTGGCCCCTGCCATCATCGAGCTTCCCGATAATTTAGCAGAACTTACCTATTTTCCACTAGAGTTTTTCAGAATCAAAGGTTCCCTTCAGGACAGCGGGCGATAATGGATATCCGGAAGATCAAAGTTTTGATTGTGGTCAAAACTGTGCAGATATTCAAGCACCACGATGAAAATTCCCCTTCGCTGACTGAAGATACAATAACCTCTAATCCTTCAGACTAACTTATGGCATCCTTACCCCTGGCAACTACATCACTTTTTACAAAGCTACAAATCGCCCAATCGAGATCGATGGCTGCAAGAAACGGCCAGCCGCTAAGGCTATCATACAGCCGGACTTTCAATTCGGAAATATAGCTATTGGAGGTCTTGATAGGGGGTTCTCTAGGATTTTTCATCAAGCCTTTGGATCTCTTTTTTTTCCTATAGTAATATAATACCAAGGGTTCTTGCGCTCTGAATATGATATGATATGATATGATATGATATTCGCCTAATCTGCGCTATTCCGGCCCATGGTGAGCACAATCTGGTCTGGTTAGGGCGTCCGTACGTTGCCGGTTTTCAATTGGAATTCCGTTGCTTGCTGTACCTTACCGTACAGTACAAGTATTGGTATACTCACGCGAGAGAGCTTTTGAACAACGTGCTATGAGAAATGTAGATTGGACTCTTAGATGGTTGGAATGGAGCTTGCGCCACGATACCCACCGGATCGCATCGGTTTTCTTTTTTTTTTTCTTTCATTTCTGCAAATGAGCTGGTTATCGGAAGTTGGGCCGGGGAAGGATCATTGCGGTGCGTTCAAAATTATGATGAGAGAATGCTTTTGCTCTGTGGTTCCTCCATGGTTTTCTTCTTCTTTTTCTTGCCATATCTTCTTAAGGTTTGTTCCTTTTTTTTGTGTCCGTGTTGATCTTGTCGTCGAACTATGATAGGTGATTGTGTTCATGCTGTATCACTCGCTAATATTGGCTGCGGTTGTTTTATGTTTGGGGGAGTGGGCTTGACAGATTGCTTAGGGATGTTGTAGAGAGGAGTGGTATCGTATCATGGATCGCAGGGTATTGCTGGTGGCGCGGGATAATAGCTAAACTTTAGGGATGGAAAAGTAAGGGAGAGTTTGTAGTTGCGCCTTCGATGGTGAGAAGGATGCAATATGACGAGTAGACTATCGGTGGACACCCCCTCCTCAACGCACACCCCGACATTCCCTGCTGCATCGCCGACTGGGGAGCGCTTCCTCCGCTCGATCCAAACCACGCTTTCAGACAGTCAATGACAGTCTCACCGGATTCTGGCGCAGCAGGGCGGGAAGATCTTTTTCAATTCTCCTTGTCCCTTGTCTCTTGCCCCTCGACGAAATGCGTCGTCAGGTCCGCTGTGTCGGTAGACTTTCGATGCTGAGGGGATGCAATGTCGGTGATCTAAAGTTTGTGTTTCGTGCTTCTACGAAAGAACCTGAACCGCGGAATGTCTCCGTATTTACGGGCAAATGTTCTATGACAATGTGAAATCAACGATATATTTGTCCCGCCCCGAAACGAAGTATTACATATGCAGGGCGAATTGGTTAATGGGGCAAATGAGCTGTGAGTGTGGGGTTGAATGTCCAAGTGCTGGGTTTAGTCCAGAGAATTATGGCAGATTTTCCTGTTACTATTTGACATTGTGCGGGTGGTTACAAATTATCCATTAGCTCGAGGGGGGAGATAAGCTAGTAAGTCGGTCTAGCAGTATCGTGCTATATGAGGGGTAGGAAGAGAGGAAGGGAGGTTGGGGTATGGTATGATTGGGGAGGGATGATAATATGGGGGTGTAGTACATAACTGGGGCTCTGGTGCAGGGGGCCGCTGCTAAAGGATTGATTTAGCTGTTAACCTGATGGGTGTCGGTATGTTGCTCAAGCACGGTGCGTCGGGGAATTGGCATCGAGTTGTGGGGTTTTATATCAATATTATTCGGGTGGCTAGGATTAAGAATAGGGGGCTGGCTATACGGGTTATAGTTCGTGAGTCACCGAGAATGCTGGAGTTGTGAAGGGCGTCAAAAGCGTGCAAGTAGCGGAAAAATACTGGGTGGGTTATTTGCATCCGGGCGACAGAAAATCTCAAGGTATGTGGCACGGGATCGAATCCCGCAAGACTCCGCGATGATTAGAGTCTCTATCATATTTTCATCCTTCATATCTCATTCGCAAGATTAGTACGTTACCGCGGGGCTGTGGCAATGTCTTCTAGCCCCAGCACAAATCCACCAGAAAATAGGGTTCAAAAGGGATATGGTTGAACTTTTGTCTATGCAAATACCGGTAACGATATTCAAACTTCGAACCCAATCGAAAACCCCAATAAAAAAAATCCAATTACTTTATCAACTTTTAAATAACCTCAATCCATCGAGTTCGACTTCTTCCTCGTTTTCGCTGTCTTCATCAACTCTGACTCTCTGGCCCAACAAACTGCCGAATAACTCACTATTAAAGTTAGTAAGGGCCCCGCGAGAAATATTAGTGAACGGGGGCCTACTCAATCTGGCGTTCACTCCAATTATTATTGGAGATTGGTGCCATAAAGTTCTGAAGTTTCTCCTGGACTTGATACTTCAACTTCCTCCCCTTGGAAGCTTTAGTATCAACAGCCTTCTTGACTTTGGCGTCTCTCAATGCTGTTGTCCATCTGACCGCACCACTGGCGCCGCCGGAGTTTGCACCATCGACCATTCTCTGGTCCACTAATGCCTTCAATAACATTTGGTAAAAGTCTGAGTCGTCGTATACTTCCACGTCTTCGCCACTTTCGACCTTTGTCGGCGCACATGACCGGGGAACTCTTGTCTTTTGCACATGTCGGTTTAGGTCGGTCATTAGAGTTTCATTGATAGTTGCTGTGAGGCCACGTTGCACACCGTTGTTTAACTTGCGCGCAAGAGTGACGGTGGAAACGGAAGATGTTTTGGTAGACCATTTGTCCAGTGTTGAGAGGCGGTTTGGGTGAACCTCTCCTTCAAGCCTTTGCATCTTGGCCCATAAAGCGGGGGTGGAGGTGTCCGTATAATCGTGTTTTCGTTTGAGGGTAGAGGGCGAAGATAGCTCACATCGGAGGTCTGTTAGCGCGCTCCAGAGATTCAATGCTGCATCTTCTGCCGCCTTATATGTCTCTGGCACGGATTGAAGTGATGGCGCGGGTTGCAAAGGAGTGGGAAGAGAATTAGTTGCTATAATGGCTTTCTGGAGTTTGATACGAACACCTAGGAGCGAGTCAAACGTTTTCTATATCCGGATGTCAGCACAGATCTAGGCGCGATAGAGGCTCCGGAACGGTGTTACACACCTGTTGTTGTTTCACTGCTGTGCCTTTCTCAGTATCCGCTTTGACGGCCTTGGAAATACTCGCAACAACATTTCTGTGGCACTGTTAGAGGCCGTTCGTTACTATACGGGGTGGCTCACTTCTGTTCTTCGGTGATCAGCTTCTTTAACTCCTCTCTACGTTTGGCTTCAGCGTCTTGGGCTCCCTCATCACTACTCTCCTCCTCATCATCCTCTTCGTCTTCGTCCTCGTCTTCATTATGACTGAGCAAACCGCCCTCTACATCGGAGGCTTCGTCTTCGTCGCTGTCGTTTTCTTCATTCAATATCACCTCATCGTTTGGGTCTGTTCCAGGTTCCCCGTCGGAGCCTGATTCGTCGACAACCTTCATTCCACGGGTTGAATTTACCCCCTCCTTCGTAGTCGAACTGCCGAGAAATTTGAACCCAGAAAATCTATCCTCGTCACTTCCAAGAGCATCATCACTATCAATGTCATCATCCTCGTCTGTTGGAATTTCACCATTCTCCCGATTCTCCGCTTTCGGTTCATCTACATCGTCCTCGTTTCCGTCGCCATCGCTGTCCTCGCTGTCCTCATCGGATCCATCCATGCGGTGGTCCTTGTCTTTGTCTTGGTAGAGCTTTTCGCGACTTATTCGAGCGCCATTGTATTTGGGATCTAATAGGACTGGGTTTCCTTTCCGTAGCCTACTCTTTCTATGTGGTTGTTAGAGTTTAGTGGTAGTGATTGAGAGGTTCATGTCATACCCGACGGTTATGTAGTGTGCTCTTCCGAGATCTTCTTCATTCTCCTCTTCATCTCCGCTGTCTTCAGATTTTTCGTTGTGGTTATAATCTTCCTCTGGAGCTTCGGGATCGAAATCTGTTACACGGGGATCGTTAGTCCAATAACCCCCAATTTTGTGAAAAACATATAATCACCCGTCGGGGCAGGATTCTCCAACAGGGCAAGCTGCTCTGAAAATGATAGCGAATTCCGTGGCTTCGAGGAAGTCATTGGAGTGTAAAAAACTTGGAGGAAACAAACGGAAAGATTGTTTCTCAATCTGAGGGTTGTCAGAGTGTAGAAAGAAATATTTTAGCCGCACTAGACCTTGTGGGATAGATAACAGTCTTGGCGACGGGGGTATTCTCTTGGTGGAAGAAGAGTCCCACCAGAGGCATTGAGGGGATCAAATTGTTTTCCAGCTCCCAGTGACACACCCTGCTCACGAGAGCCCTCATCCTTCACTTGGGAAGCAAAATCTCTCACCTCCCTCTCACTAATTACTAAAATTGGATTGTCGGGGGTGGGCAGATTATCTTTGATTGATCATGCACCTTGTGCGACCTCTTTTCTTTGTTGTATGAATTCCTGACCACTGCTAATTTCTGCAGGCGCGGGTTCCTGCCTCCAGGGCCTATCTCCAGCTCTCAGCACGTCGAATCCTGCCTCCTCGAATCCCATCCCATTTCCAACCTCCAACTTCTTTTAGCCTAATCCGAAACTATGCCAATATTTCCTCTTCGCCCACTGCCCCCCAGAATCTCACCGAGAAAATCGTGCAGAAATACGCTGTGGGACTTCCGGTTGGAAAGTTTGTTCGTTCTGGCGATTATGTTTCGATAAAACCCCACCACTGTATGACACATGACAACTCGTGGCCAGTGGCCCAGAAGTTCTTCTCTATAGGAGCTACTAGGATTCACGATAGCCGTCAGGTGGTTATGACACTCGATCATGATGTTCAGAATAAAAGCGAGGCAAATATTAGAAAGTATCAGAACATCGAGGAGCTGGCAAGGAAGATGGGGGTAGACTTTTACGGCGCTGGCAGAGGAATCGGTCACCAAATTCTGGTCGAGGAGGGGTACGCTTGGCCAGGAACTCTTACGGTTGCTAGCGATTCGCACAGCAATATGTATGGCGGTATCTCATGTCTTGGTACCCCAATTGTTCGAACGGATGCAGCAGCGATATGGGCCACTGGGCAAACATGGTGGCAGATTCCTCCAGTAGCTCGAGTGGAATTCAAAGGTGTTCTACCAAAAGGGGTTACTGGGAAGGATGTAATTGTGTCTTTGTGCGGCCTTTTCAATAACGACGAGGTTCTTAACCATGCCATCGAGTTTGTTGGTCCGGAACGGACTTTGGAGTCGCTTGGAATTGACGATCGTTTGACCATTGCAAATATGACCACCGAATGGGGTGCCTTGAGCGGTATCTTCCCAATGGATAACGTACTTAAGGATTGGATGCTCCAGAAGGCTTCGATGCATGCCCGGCGACTCGAGAATAGCTCACATCCACGTCTTACGGCCAAGGGAATCGAGGAATTTTTTGCATTTACTACGCTTTCAGCGAGCCCGGATGCCTCGTATGCAAAGTCCTTAACTCTAGACCTATCAACACTGTCACCATATGTCGCCGGTCCTAACTCTGTCAAGATCTCTACGCCTCTTGCGGAACTGGAAGAAAAAAAGATCGCAATTCAAAAGGCGTATCTAGTTTCATGCACTAATTCACGCGCCTCGGATATCGCTGCAGCGGCTGAAGTTTTCAAATCCAATCCATCAGCAAAGGTAGCATCGGGAGTAGAGTTCTATATTGCCGCTGCATCGACATTAGAACAAGACGCTGCGACCAAGGCTGGGGATTGGGATACTCTCGTCAGTGCTGGTGCGAAAGCTCTTCCAGCGGGCTGCGGTCCATGTATTGGTTTAGGAACCGGTCTCCTCGAGGACGGGGAGGTCGGAATATCCGCAACCAACCGGAACTTTAAGGGAAGAATGGGATCAAAAGAAGCACTAGCATACCTCGCCTCTCCAGAGGTCGTAGCAGCCAGTGCAATGAAAGGATTTATTTCCGGCCCAGGGAACTATACTGGATCCTCCTCTGCCGTATCAATATCCTCCCCACCCGCACCAACCCCGACCTCAAGTCAGCCCTCCAGCGCCCGAGAAGCAGAAACAGAGATCCTCCCCGGCTTCCCCCCTCTGATTGAAGGCGAAATAATCTTCTGCGATGCAGACAACATCAACACCGACGGAATCTACCCAGGGAAGTACACTTACCAGGACAACATCTCCCGCGATCAAATGGCACAGGTTTGCATGGAGAACTATGACTCCACCTTTCCAACCATTTCGAAACCGAACGACATATTAGTTACCGGCTTCAACTTTGGCTGCGGGAGCAGTCGCGAGCAGGCCGCCACCGCAATATTAGCACGCTCGATACAATTGGTTGTCGCAGGGAGCTTCGGCAACATATTTATGAGGAATAGCATCAATAACTCGCTGATGACTGTCGAGTTACCAAAGCTGATTGAGAGATTGAGAGGAAAGTTCCCCAAGACACTGACCAGGAGGACGGGGTGGTGGTTGCAGTGGGATGTACGTAGGAGTAAGGTTACGGTACGGGAGGGGCCAGAGGGTGCGGGGGTGTGGAGTTTGAGTGTCGGGGAGTTACCACCTAATGTGCAGGATGTGTTTGTCAAAGGGGGGTTGGAGAAGTGGGTAAAAGCTAGACTGGAGCAGTAGGAGCAGGGGCGCTTTTGGTTTGTGGTATCCAACAGTAATTGATTTGGATCGCGTTGGGAAAATTCCTTTGAAGTAAATTTGGCATATTGAGTGCGTATGTGTTTTTCTTCGGCAGGTCCTACAAGCCAGTTATGTTATTGTTCCTTGGGATCCCGGATACTCCTCAAGCGAAAAATCCTGGGTGGCACGCGGGCATCGCAAAAAGTCACTCGCATACTCCTCCATCCTGACTACTAATAAGACCCTGGAAAGCCCATCACAAACACCCTAGCGATAGCCTAGTCAATTCTTGTCACCAATCCCACCACCACTTCCTAGCGGTGCCTTTGGGCTTTCGAAACTGGGCAACGGCTCTTTATACCTATATGCTGCACAAGCTTGTAACCTGAAAGAAGTTGGGAGGTGAGGGGGAGGTGTAGTAACGAACTTATGGCCGAGGCGGATTAAACCATGGGGGGTCCCTTTGTGGACCCCGTCTCCTAAGGGAGTTGGATATACGTAGTGAGGAGTAATATATCACTCTTGGGATAAACAATTCGCGTTCGGCTACCTGCCAAGATTTCGGTATCTCTGAATTCCCCCCCGTCCCCTTTTCCTCTTTTCCCTCCGTGAGCGTTGACAGTGTTAGGAGAGTTGTCCAAAGGGGTCGGGCAGATGGAAACAGTATGTAGATTGGGTCAGGAGGACAAGGAGTGGCATTGGGAGTGTGAGCGGAAGTGTGGGATGAGGCAGGAGGCATAAGGGAAGTCACAGAGGGCAGATGGTAAGAGTACATGAAAGGTATCTGGGGGAAGCATCCGAATGTGTCCACAGTAGGAAAGAACTGCGTGGATGCTTCTGGATAAAAGGAGTCTAGCACGCTACATCCAGATTGGTGATAGTCATATGAAGTGCCTGGAGCATTCGAAGCACGGGGGGGGTATGAGAGGAAAGTAAAGTTTTTTTCCTGGTGTATATCCCATAAATAGCATCTAATTGGACAAACAGTAGTAACATATGCAGTATTACATATATTTCTTTACCAAAATTCTTCCTACTAGAATGAGAGCAACTACCCAACCATTAGTCCATCATGCCTAGAGCATACAAGGGATTCAGAGGGGTATTCCGAGAATATTCTTGCCAAGTTACAGCTTGTTCGGGGCCCTGTACAAGTAGCTATACTCCTATGGTACCCCGATAAAATCTCAAATTCAGATACTGTATTCAGGTTTATGTAACGATCAATTCTAACATTTTCCTTAAAGATTCCGGGAAACTTTCTGGTGCGAGATAGGATAATAAGGTGACTTAGACAGGATAACACAAGCACCTGTGGAGGGTAATTTGACCATCGTGATGATGGTAGGATCCCAGCGACTTTACCTAGTCATCCTACCTATTCCTATAGCAGAGATACCATTAGACTAGGCTATATCATATGTTTGGTCACCCCTTACCACCCAAGTAAGTTACCTGTTTTCCTGAAGTCCTCAAGTACCTTCTGTTTATAGTGGAGCCCTGATTGTTGAGTGCTCTGGAAGTGTGCTAACATTCACCCGTCTGACACTATTAGTGAACCTCTTGATCTCACATATGTGTATAGATCCAGACTGCCACAGCTCATATACATAGGATCATTACAAGGAGATATATCATAGTTCTGGAGATTTGTGGCAGCCCTTTGTCAAGTTTTAGCCTTGTATCATACAACTTCCTGCTAGGGAAGAGGTTTGGCGGGTGGGAAATCCGCAAGCAATAGGCATGCCTCTATTCTCCCCTCCGAAAAAGGTAAAACCAAGCCACATAGGGTTAAGTGTGGCAGTCATGTGTTTCTACTTTACTCGTAGATGGTTTCCGTTGTAATTTACTCGAGTAGCTAGCAAACACGACATTCCTTCCCTCCTCCACACCCCCACACCTACACTCCGGCGCTAATTCTGAGATTTCCCAATGTCAGCCATGTATGATACTCGTACATTATTATCCGCTATATCTCAGGGCTTTTTACAGCCTAGTCGGGCCCAGCCAGTCCAGTGGTCTAGGGCCACTAGCCCACGAAGAGGCGAAGATACCAGCAGCACAGAAACCAACCTGGACAACAACCGGCTCTTATTAATGGTATCTCCCCGAAAAGTATCGTAATGTACGATACTCCGCCACACCCGCCACCCCCTCACTTCCATCCCACTCCCACCCCCTGTCCCCCACGCACCCCACTCTTACTCAACTCACGCCCTATCACTCGCAAAGCCCCACTCATGCATCTCGCCCCTCCTACGTTAGCTACGAAAGTCACATTCACCACAATCGTACCCCCTCCATAGCCCGGGGACTCCGTGATCTCCGCGATCCCCCCCCCCTCCCTTCCCTCCTCTATATCTAAAACCATACAATACCAAACTCATGCAAACACCATAACAAGCTAAACTTCATTTAAGCTCGCCCAGTTCCTTCCTGCCTTCCTTCCCGCAGGTCAATGTTCGCTACCACAGCGGCTACTCGCGATTGAACGGTGTTTGCGGACACGGCTGCCACCGCAAACCGTCAAGCTGATCCCGTTCGATTACGAGGGCTCGTATCACATAAATACTATGAAATGGCAGTATGATAGCTTATCCCGGTCTGCAACTTTGTGGATTCTGCAGGAAATGTCTGTCGTAGAGGTTCGCTGAGGTCGAGCATCATTGCTGAGGGTACAATTTTTACAGGACGGCGCTGCGACATGATGAGTGGCTTCATGCGAGTAATGTGACTTGTGATTGTCATTATTCGGTGAAGGACTGGAGCCCCGCCCGACCAGTGCAAGCGGGACGGTGCCGTATTTTCAGCCGTCCGCCGCGTTTCTTGGCGGTATCTAGGGGGTGGTGCTTGAGTGCTTGAGAGTTGTATGCAAGAGGACTGAACTAGAACCGAAGGTTTCCACGCACGGAAATAGTTGTTGCCGGCAGCGATGGGCTGCAGTCTCACCAAATGGTATGATATGATTCCGGTATGTCATACTTGTTTTCACTGTATATCACTCGGATACTGTGACATTATGGCTATCAAATGGGGAGAAACAAATTTGTATCTACGGGGGTACGACTGACGCACCCAAGAAACGCAAGAGACGCAAGAGGTGAGTGAGATAGAGTAATATCTTAAAATTGGATCATCCCGCAAGAGTTCTCCCGTTACACGAAAATCTTCAAGTGTCTAATTTTCTCACCAGACACGATCACACGGGACCACTCTCTTCGGGACCACTCTTTTCCAAGGGTCTCTGCGCATAGTACAAATGCCTGTTTTGCCATACATTAGCCCAAGCGTTTGGATGGGTGTCGTGAAAACGTACTGAGTCGAGTAAGTATGAGACTTTTTGCTCCGGGATTCCCTCTTGGCTGCCGTAATCACCTCCTGGGCCTCAGGAATCGTCATTCCAAGTGTTCTAGTGAAGAAAGCCATTCCAAACGCCTCATAGGCGTTCTCAGTGGTAAGCAGGAAAAATGCCCCCATCTCCTTTTGCTTTTTTTCGGCCGGCCAAGTCCCGAGGGGGAGTTTCATCTCTTCGTGATGAACGTTGTCGAAACCGGCGTCCAGAATAAACCTATCCAAAGAGGAAGCAATCTTAAATTCCTGCCCTTTATGCAAGGTCAGCCCCAGGTAGAAGCTGGAGGTTAACCATGCCTTGGCTAAATTTACTCACCCAGTAAGTCGGCAGCTTGGTTCACGAGTCTATAATATTTGGCCAGATTGCTCTCGTCGGACAAAGTTCCGTCATCGCTCTGAAGTGTGAACTCGTACTCCTCAATATCTAGCCAGCCACCGGGTTTCAGGGCACTTTTAACCAAAAAGCCAGGTCAGCAATGGCCTCGGAACAGCAGGGATACTCACTCGAATGCCTGTCTGATGAGCCTCCCCCAGTCCTTGATCCCACCATTTAGATGGCGGATGTGAATTAAATCGAATGACTTTCTTGCAAAAGTCCAATCCGATTCTGCGTCGTCAATCTGAAAGCTCACATTGGGAGGGACCCTGAAAATTTGGGATGAGCGTGAGTAGCTTCAAGAGGCTTGGGTGAGCTACACACCAGCTTGGCTGAATTGGGCTAAGGTCTGTTCCGACAACCTCTGCAGTAGGGTGGGCTCTATCCAGGATTATAAGTAGAGAGCTTTCATCACCATCAAGGCGCACACTCACTCTGCAACATCAATAGCCCAGATTCCTGTGCCGGTTCCGACATCCAAGATCCTCTGAACGTCATCACCGACAGGTGCTCGAAACAACTTGCCATCAAGCATGAGGAGATAGATGTGGTGAAAAATATCTAATCTGTTGTTGTTCAGCAGCGCCTTCCAAGTAGGGATATCAAGCCTGGGACTAACCTCTCTTGCTCGGCCTCGTCGTTTGGAAGGTTGTACCTCCTGCGCCAAGTTAACTCGCTAGGATAACAGGCTCCGGGGCTAAGTTCCCTACCCGTCCTTGTAAGCGTGGTATCGACGCCCATTTTCGTATCGATACCTGGAATACGACGACATCGGTAAGAAAGAGATTTTGCTAGGCAAAGTAGCTGGGGCTTTTTTTTTTCTTCTTTTTATTTTTTTCTTACGCTCGGATGGATTCAGAAAGTGAAGCTGTAGAATATTCACTCCTAGCGATAGTTAGAATTATATCTCAAAGCAAGCTACGAAGCCAAATACTCTGCACTCTCGTAATCTGATGTCTCTTTCTGTTTAGCTCTCCGATATCAGCTTCGATATTTCAATGCGAGTCTATCGGCAGTTGACTTACCCAAGCCGGGTCGACCTCGAGGGGCCCAGGGACGGTGTGGGATGCACTGGTCATAGCAGGTTCGGGTAAGATAACTAACGACAACTATATTCGGGGGGAGAGTCTTTTGTCGATAATGACTCGGGCGGCGTGTGGATTCGCGGGCAGTCAGGAGATGTGGTCGGGGTGCGGGGTGCACTGCTCTGATATATACGGGTTGCTATGTGAGAGGGTAGTACAGTACCGTATTTACAGTGCCGGTATAGTATCCCTCCTCCCTTCCCCGCCAACAACGACATGCTTGTACTCGCATAGTCCTCTCCAAAGCTCCACCAGCAGTATCATACCAGGTTGAAGGGCACGGCACGGGTGAAGGCGGTAAATCCGGCTCAATCGAGTCGGTGCCACCAAACCCTACAATGTGCTAGTTTCAATACCGGTAACGGATAATGAAGAAAAGGGACTAGCAAGTTACTCGAGCACAGCAACCATGGTCAATAGCGGCCGAAAGATAAAATGTTGCAGTGGAGGGGTATTCCGTGCGCGGGAATGTGACCAAAATTCTCCGTCCTCTCCGCCAAGGAAAAAAGGAGTCCCTCGTCCACCGGAATTCCTCGTGCCATTCCAACCTGGCCTTAAGGCAACACTGCGATGGCATACAAGCGGTCCAAGTGATCCAGTTTACCGACGATCAGGACCTGGATTTGAGCACTGCATCTCGAGTGCGAGTGTCGGGCAAGGTAAAAATTAGGATGAAGCTACTCCGGAGAGCTAACGATGAATTCGGCCCAAGAAGAGTGCGGGCTTCAATATAATACAGCGCACGCTTTCCGTTATGCATTTCGCACCCCCATCCATGCGGACACTATACTCAAGGGCTGAGCACATCCATGGTAACTCTTCCGCAAAGAGTGGAAATTTGACAGCAACACACAACCGTGCGTCTTGAAGCCCCAAATTTTAATTGCAACAAATAGACTAAGCTTAATTTGTCAGGTGCTGCATGTTTCGTTTAATCATGCGTCTACGGCGCCTATCGGTGACCAGGCGCCTGCAGAGCAGGCTCAACGGCACGCTTTAGTTGCTGCCGGTTGCCGGGTGTGTCAGCGGCAAATGTGGAGATGTACCGGTGATTGGAACCAGTTTACGAAGTGCAGCATACGATACAGTTGCGGCCTGTGATATCCCATAAACTGCGGACTATTATTGCTGTCCCCGTCGAGCGGGTCATTCACCCTTTGGAAGACCCACAACTGGATTCCCGGCACATCTCACCACCTCCCAGCGCTAAGGCACAAAAAGCACCAAGCCGGGGATCGCCGATCTATGCAGATTGCTCAAAACGTGTTGTCTCGGAAGAGCACCTATCACAATACTAGCTTCCGGGCTCAGGGCTTATCGATGCGTCTGAGTTATGCAGCAGCAAGAATCCCTACAAGTAACCATTCCGCTGCTGCAGTGTCCCGATGTCGAATAACTTGGTCGTGAAGTGGGCTGGATTTCAGCACTTGAGTGCATTGCATCTGTGCGGTATGTTCCTGAAGACCCCAATAGATCATGTAACCGCGGGGAGCAAACGCGGACAGAAATCATTTGCATTGCGTGATGGGGGCCAACACTCGCGACTCATCCCTCTCCCCGGGAAAAAACTCGCCAAACTTTAAAAGATACAAATCACGAGTTCCCAAGGGACAATCGAGTCTCCATCCCAGGGGCTGCTATTGTACGGTACTGTACTCCTACTGAACTCTTAAATCCCACCTGATGGCATCACGTATAATCACTCGTGCAGATCCAACAGACAGAGCACCGTAACCGCCTTCCCAGAAGTCGAGCTCCGAGACTGATGCAACGAATTCTAATGCTGACTGACTTTGCAACAATATTCCACCGCTATGCTATCTTGGGATTAAGCCCAAGCATGACGTGACAAGAACGCAGCAGAAACACAATTCAGATACCGACGGCATCCAGACCGCAATGTCATACGACTACCCGAGTATCTGATCCAAGGCACGGATCGATATTGGCGACCTAACGCCATGGCCATTAAACCACGTTATACGAAGTCCTACGCCGGCACTGTTCGCACACATAATACATTTGGGGGTACTCGTGCTGGTAGGTTTCTGACGTTTGCGAACACGACTGCTATTGCATACCGCCAAAATATTGAGACACCAGCCGATTTTCTCTCCATATGGGATGGCAGTCATGTTCACGGACGTCGTTTAATCGCAAGTAGCCATACCAAGTTCAAAATTCAAGGGGTGGTTTGCGGGAGCCCCCAGATACAACGCATCTACCATTTTTCCCTCTTGTTCTTGAGAAGCATTGCGTATCGATTCTGGAATTCTAAAAGCTATTACCCATCAGAGAGTTGGCTCTTCATCCAGACCGGGCCTGTTAAGTTCATTATCTATCATGCGGCACCGGCTCAATCGGGTGATTTGTCAAGCTCTTGGACATAATTGTTGGTCCACCATTGTATGATACCTCGCAGAAGCAAGCAAAAGAGAGAAAAATAAAAGAAAATAAAAGGGAACACGGTCAATTCGAGTTCACTACGTTGAACCCCTCATGAATCCCCGCAAAACCACATATTCAAACAGCGGTGGATCTAAGCATAGATATTTTACTACCCGCACCATGGACGGACCAGGGATCCCCGCCACGGAATCACCTGCACAAAAAATCCCGGAGACTCGGTTTAATCGTGTGGAATTGACATAACATGCCATATAAAAAGGTGCTGTACTTACCTCAAATAACCCACGACTTTACACACAAAACTTAGCACGCTCGTCACAATAGCCCAGCGTTTCACCGAGCGAACAATAGCTGTAATCGAACACCTTCCTGCTGTTTTCTAAGCCTACAAACCCTCCATTCTTGGTGTGGAATGCACGACTACCGATCAGATATGTCACCGAACTCTACTGGGCAGTACGCATCCTAGTGCCCTAATGAGCCATCTGCTCCCAGACTGAGCCAGGTTGATCAAACTCAGCCCAAATCCCAATACTGCCAGCGGTTGTCACTCAGACCCAATTACCACTGGAAGTAAGGGCGACAGCACACATCCGGCTTATTGACCTAAGCCCGTAGCCTAGTTCGAGTGGGAACAGCAATCGCAGCAAAGACCCACATGCGATGTCTACCCATACAGATACCATTGACACAACACTAAAGGACGAACATTTTATTCCCAATTTGTGACGAGCATGTCCCGAATTGTCCGCGAGTGCGATAAGGGGGTTGGGGATACGTCGGGAAATTCCCCCAAGACGATCATGCATGTCAGCATAAATACGAATAAAACGACACCTCATGCGGGGTACAGTACCACAATGATAAGTGGGAGTTCCAGCGCCGCTGCCCAACATCTTGCTGGCAACCCCTCTCCCGAGAGCTCGGGAATCTGGTTCAGAACATTGTCTCACAACTTATCATTGGCCGGACCATCGTCACAACTCGGTCCCGAGTGCTCGGTGGCGGACCTCGCTTGAGCGGGAAACGTGCTCAATCTAACCAAGAAGCGGAGCGGCATAAATTCCAATGGTAAGAGCCATTCCAATCCTGCACGAGTAGGGAGCCCCCACCTACTCGAGTACTGCTCCACCTGACGCCCGGGTTATTCCGCTCCACAAAATGGCAGACGCCAATGACACCAAGGTTGACGTACCGGCATACATACGGCGATTTTAGTTCGAGGGCTGCTTCACCACACTCTATCACTTGTGCATTCAATTTCGGGTCGGGATTCTCCCCCCCTAAATCTCAGCTTCCATTTTCCTCGGGCTGCTACGGTCGCCGTTCGGGCACGCATGGCTGAGCACAAAACCTTTCTTGAGATCAAGTTAGACCATCCGTGCGATGATTCGGAGCAATGCAGCAATGTTACATTATCGTTTGCAGTCCAGGAAGACAGAATTGAGACACATTTCAGACGGGGGACTACGCTAGACAGGCCAGATAATGGACTAATAATAATCGCCTATTAGTTGAAAAAAGGAAGCTGTGGATCTCGATTCCTAGAAGTCCCGATATTGCATGCAGGTACGATATTACTGATATTTTTGAGCGGTGTTCCCGGCTAGACACACAAGAGTCGGCCGGGAGCGATATTTATTACGAGATCGACTAGCAGTGCTTGAGCTAGTATCAGACTAGAGCCGCGCCAGCCACCCTGTGCAGAATGCTAGCTTTCGCAGTCCGTGGACCCAAGGGCCGCCTTATTCTGCCTCGTCCTCGCTCAACAGCTGACTGAGGGGTGTAAATCTGAAGTAGTGCTGGATTTAGTGGTTATCCACCAAACAGACTAGGTTCCTTTCATCTAGTTTCCCTTAGTACTTTCCTCACCACTCTCTTTAACGTTAGCCACTGTTTGAGTTTTTCTTCATCTCTTCTCCGTCCGTCTCACAACTTCACAACCATGCCATATTCAACTAAACTTACGGTATTTCCTCCTCCTCGCCACAATCATCCCGAGCGTCTCATATATTCTCTTCTCCTCGGAGGACTTCTCAAATTCTTCCTTCCTTCCGAGGTTCTCACGTTACAGCCCTCGGGTTTCTGATATTTCTTTTCTTTTATTTAGTTTTTCAGTTTGGCGTGAAAACCCACAGCTGCGCATGTGGCAAGAAAATCAAGCTTCTTTCTCGACAGCAGTTATATCAATTCACAACTGGTACGAGTGATCTATTATGATCTCAGCTCTCCCCCGGCGAACCAGTTCCTGTTTGGGGCGACGAGCAAAGTAGCGTGGCAACGTTCTCAGGTGTTAGCAAGAAATTCTGGCAAATGCCAGTTGTGCCCAATCAGCTAGGTCTATTTGTCGTAAAGCCTGTCAATATTCCGTCACATCACTCTCCATGCTTTAACAGCATTGAACATAATGGATCGTGAATGCCCTGCTGCGCACAATGCCAAATGTTCGAACCCTGTCGCCCAAATAAGTGGACAGAGTGGGAACAAATCGGTGTGGCATTATCCGTCTCCAGCACTGCTGGACCGGTGCTGCTTTTCGCTGCAGGAAGGTAAATGACGAAAAGCCGTGCACAGGCGTACGACACCCATATAACTGACAAAAGAAATACTGAGTTTGTTCTTGAAAAATCGGGGGGCTAAACATTAATTCTATAAAACTCTCTCACACTCCCTAGGCAACACCCCTTATATTCTATTGATCCTCAGAAGAGAAAAGAAAAGAAAAAATCGACAGCCAATATCATGCTCTAGGAGCGGGGGAATATTTGAGCTCGAATGCCAATCCCCGTGGAAATTTGCAGGGAAAAACGGATGGTGAGTTTACAAAAACGTCCTTGGTGTCGAACGATACTGGGTTCAATGATGTCAAGGTATTTAGAGATAACGGATTCTAATTGCGACTTCTAGGACAAGAGGCTTTGAAGCGATTTCCGATTCCGCTCTTCCTTGCACACCGATACCATATGGTTTTAGATCTGGCCCTGGTGGTCCAAGAAAGCAGCTCGGAAAACTGTGGCCTTATCTGCAGTACAAACTCTATCAGCCAGTCCCAATTTCGTCCGGGGCAATTCCTAGAAGACTTCTGGGAAACCATGCTCTCACATGGGGGCCAAGCTTCACCCGGTGGAAAGCACAGTACTGTACAGTACAATACTCCGAACTTGGAACGGCGGGTGAGTGCCGCTATGAGGGGTGTACTGAAACCATCGAGAACTCACCTTAGAGATCCCTTAGGAAACATAAAACTCTATTTTTCATTAATCATAGGCAATGCATGGATACACAATAGCTGGGGTGACCAGCTGGGTTGTCCAGGATGAGTTTGCGTCCCCGCACCCAGGCAACCCGGGACCCTCCTACTCTATTCTCCTATGAATTTCCCTTTGACGCAAAAAGAAAGTCCACAATAAGCCCTCCGAGCAAGCATTATGTTCTTATGAGGTGCTGAAAGGAGATTCCCCTGCTTAGGTTAACCACAGCGAGGACAGGCCAGTGCTGGCCGAGTATGATACCCTTCAAGGACGTTAAAGGACTTCATGGTACAGATCTAGAGGGATATGGATGGTCAACGCATTCCAGCACCTAGTGATCCGGGCATCCTTATTCGGAAAAGAACTCGGGAAAAGGCCCCTTTCGTCTTACTATTAGCAAGCGGGAAGCTCTCAGCTTTGGTAGTTGGAATTCACGATATTAATGATATTCCGGTTTCGTTACAAGGGAACATGCTCCGATATATTGGAACCTTAAAACAGTTTCACACACGCCTGGGGTTGCCAATACCTCAATCAAATACCTGAATCGGTCCCCAAACGGTACGAGTACCTTTCTAAGCCCACCCCCCATCACCCGTGCCATATATTCCGTTGAGGATACCGGTACGCCGCCCGGAGCAGAAATTCAGGAAAAAACAGAGCTAAGTAAAGGAGGGGGCGGATTCTCGCTAGCACACCCGCCACGCACTACGCTTGAAAGAGTCCTTCGAATAGTCTACAGAAGCTACCTTTCCTCTTCTCGCGGGGTGGATTGATGCCCCTTCTAGCCTTCTTTTCTCCCCCCGAAGTGGGGTGGAAAAACCGCAATATGAAAAGACTAAAACCTTTCCTGAGCCGGATGTTTGAACTAAAAGTTTACACCCAGAGAGGCGACTCTCCTGAGAGATTGCGGCTATTGCCGGTGACGAGGTTTCCAAGATAGTTCGGTGAGCGGGCCATCCTGAGCGATGATGACAAGTGCGCGGGGGATACTCGTCCGTAACCCAGCCACCGAAATTGTACTGTACTGTACTCTATCTCACCACGCTTATCGTTACCATACGGTGGGTCAGCACTTGGCTTGTCTCGGGTGCCGGGTCCGGCTTGATTCTATTATGGAACAAGGGAGGGCCTACACAGACATGCCGGTGTGTTTCGGATGAGCGTGTTTGGATGCGCCGGGTGGAGAGGCAATTGAGAACTCATGATTCTTGATGTAATACCCGGGCACTGCATATCGCTGGCCCACACAGTAGAGAAAGGACATTGGGATACAATAGCAAAAGTAATGTGACATGAAACCAGCTTTTGGATTATACACATGAAGCCGTGAGCAATGATAAATACAGGGATCCCAAACAAGAGAAAATGCAGCGCTTCAACTAACCGGAAACCTTCTTTCCAACACCCCTCTTCCTCGCCTCTCGCCTCCTTCTCTTCCAATCCCTATTCCATTCCCCTCGGTTTTTGTAGAACGTCTCTCTCCATCTCTCCACAAGTTCCGCATTCCCCCCCTCCTCTCCCCCTTCAGCCACACCATCAAGAGTCTTGGAATTTGGAATCTTTCCCCAAATGCTCAACGCCCCCAAAAACTTACTATCCTCATGAGCGCCCAACAATGGAGCCTCCACATTCATTGACCCTCTCCTCCCCGTCTCTCCGCTCCCCATGGAAATGGACCCGATAACCCTCGGCGTCGACGGGACGAACAGCCTTCCTCCGCCGCCGGAAATATCTGGAACCTCATCTTCATCCGGAGGAAAGAACTTCCTATGCCCGATCGCAGTATCGGGCGTTGGTGCCGCGGAGCGGTACCGATTAGGCGGCGTGGACACCATGGGAGCGGGAGGTTGCTCGTCGCCGCTGAGCATGTCCTCGTCTTCATCCTCGTTCACGTCACCGCTACCGCCGAGACTAAAGCCGAAGCGAAAGGAAGTGTTTGTCGGTGAGATGGCAGAGGAGTGGGGCGTTGCGATCGTTGGTTTGTAGAGGGCTTCCAAGGGGTGGGCTATGCGCGGGATTGTGATCTGCAGGGCTGGGGTGGGCACTTTGGAGCGCTTGGTGGTGGTGTTGGAGGAGGCTGAAGGAGGTGTTTTGGGGGTTATGGGGGAGGTGTCCGATTCTGAATCCGTTGTTGAGGGGGTGGAAGAGGCGGATGTGGAAGACGAAGGGGAGGAGGGGCGGTAGGCTGTTGTTGATGGGGGGAGGGATATGATGGTTGTGCCGGTGGGCGGGGGTAGTGGGGTGTATTTGATGACTGAAGGGGTTGGTTCGATGACAGTGCCCGAGGAGTCGAGCCAGCCGAGAGATTCGTCAAAGGTTGCAGTAGTCGCTAACACGCCCTTGCCAAGTGAGGCCCCCTTAAGAAATTGCGGGAATTTGGTGTTGTGTGTGAATTCTTTGATGGTGCCGTCTGTCTTTTTCTTCTTGGACTTCCCAGTGGAAGCAGTAGTAGAGCCAGAGAGGGTAAAGGCGGAGGTAGCGGCAGAAGATCTGAAAAGACAATCCCGCCTCCCATCACCTTTCACGGGCGTAGCGATAGTAGGGGGCCTACTCCACCCTCTCTGAACCTTCCTACCCCTCAGCTCAATACCGTCGACTACACCCTTCTCCTTCTTGCTTTTCTTAGCCTTCTTGTTCCCATCGCCATCGTCATCCTTCTTAGCACGCTTCCTCTTCTCCTTCTCCTCAACACCGCCATCAGGAACACCCCCAGGGACGAAAGCATCAGGCCGGGCGTCCTCAACCCTAACTTTAACCCCCCGAAACAAACTCCCATTCAACTTCTTCTTAATTCCGTCCGCAACATCCCGGTCACAAGCGAAATATCCATAACTCTTCTCTGGGAAAGAGGGGACTTTGTGAAAAGACATGGACGCGATAACCGCTTTATCGGAGAGGACTTTCGGTGGAAGGAGAGAGCATATGGTCTCCGGGGTTAGCGGTGTGATGTGGAGGCGGACAATGCCCATGTTCTTTCTTTCCCTCGATTGACGTCTTTGCGGATCTCCTAGTTAATTGTGTTCTTCTTTCTTCCTCGGCTCACGCTCTGCACTCGCGTAGCCGGCGCTGGAAAAGAGAGGAAGGAGGCAGGTGGGTGGAGGAGTGTTAAGAGGTACGTGTGATGTCAAAGTATGCACCGTGGGTAAGATGGAGCAGAAGGTTTGTTCTCGCTTTCTTTCTCTCTCGCTAGAGAGTGGGGGATGCGGTGCGAAAGATGTTTTTGATAGAGGGTGCGCACCGGTGGGCTATGTGATGGTCAAGGAAGAGATGAAACGTAGCGGGGTGGTGCCAGCGACCTTGTTTTCCGTTTTCTCTCTTCCGGGATGTGGTTGGTTGGTGGATGGTAACTTGTGATACTATGGCAGGACTGTACTTGTACGGTACATAGGTTTGTGTATGATACGAGTACTCGTACAGTGCGCCTAGTCCTGCTTTGTGGACTTTCGGCCCTGCCAAGAGGTTACGATACCGGTTCGATTGGTTCTTCTTTAGGATGTGTGGGTGCACCAACCCCGGACCAACCAAACGAGCGAGCCCTGTGCTCGCACAGTACTGTACTTTACAAGTACCATACCAGATACCACAATACCGCCATACAAACACTTTCTCGAGCTCCGCCGGAGAAATAGCCCTGTATGGATTCGCGCTTGATAAGAACCTTCACGCCACGCATCTGGTTCACCGTATTCTATACTCCTATCCCCCATCCAGCCATCCAGCCGTCCAACCCCCTCAGTATGGTTCCAATGTACGAGTAGTACAAGTACAGTACTCACGTCGGATTCCTCGGTGTAGGAAGGGAGAGAAGGGAAGAGAAGGCTATTCCACCTTTCGAGCAGCTTGGCCTGCGCCTTTTTTGACATCTACCGAGCCACCGGTAATGCGGGAAGACGGCTGAGGCATTCTACCCTCCCACTGGATGAGGGCGGGGGAAGAACGTAGAATACGGACGAGCAAGTTTGGCTTGATTACTTCCCTCCAACGCGCGAATGGGCAAAGCTTCACTGTACTGAAGGCACTGTACTGATACCCGTACAGTGCTGCGCTACGCCGGCCCGCTTCTTTGGCCATTCCCGTCAGGCTGCGAGGGAACTACTTCACAAACAGACACTACGGAAACGAACATAGGATGACGATAGTTATTATTACGATAAGGATCATGATGGAGAAGAGGCACTAGCAGACAATTGATTCCTTAGAATATTTGGAAGGGTTTAAAGGGACATTCTCACTACGTACAGTACCACCATATATCAAAGATCCGGAGGGGTGGGGGTATGGATCTATTTTGTGCGGTCGTACCAAAGTGCATATTTCACGCCCCAACTCCACTTACACTGGCTCTCTTGAAGGGCACGTTGATGAGAAAATCCACGATCTCTGAAATAATTTGCCGGACGGAAGATGACATCCCTAACGGGATTCAGAAGCCCCCAAATTTGGCTGCGGAATATCTTCAAGTGTCTTAGAGAACGAGTAGATAATTTGTTAAAGGCGAAATTACTGCGCAAGTGATATGACATGAGGAGAGTTTGCTGCTCTGCTATGCGAATCTCGCAAACCTCAACCTAACCGAAAAGCTTTCTGCTGACCTTCTCAGCAATCCCTTCAAAGGCGAGAGCGTGTACTCCTGTAGGATGAGATACTACTGTGGGTTTCCCCTGGTCAGCATCCCGGCAGATGGAGGCGTGCAAGGGAATGTCCCCAAGAAGTTCTATTCCATGTTTCTTGCACTCTCTCTCGACGCCATCCGCTCCGAAAATGTGGGTGTCGTGCTGGCAATTGGGACATGTAAATACACTCATGTTCTGCACCATTCCCAGTAGCTAGAGGAAGGAAGTTAGAGGGGGGCAAGATTTCGGGATAAGGATTGCCATGCGGCCCAGATTCGGATGGGGGGTTTCTAAGGCAAGGAACTCACTGGAACATCCACCTTCTTGAACATGTTGATTCCCTTAACCGCGTCGATGAGAGCTATATCCTGGGGCGTCGAAACAATCAAAGCTCCTATTTTTCCAGAATTAGCATACCTCATGCGTGCATTCCGCTTTGCGAACTCAATTAGCGACACCCTCTCATCCCCCATGAGAGTCCTTGACGAGAATCGCCCTCGCAGAAAAGCAGCATTCCCGAGCTTCCCTGCGGGGGGTAACATGAAATCCGACTTAAGCAGAAGCGAAACGAAAATTGCACGCACACACCGTCTACTATAACCTGCTGAGTGACACTAAGCTGGACATCGCCGGTTCCCGGCGGGAAATCGAGGATCAAAACATCGAGCCCACCCCACTCGACCTCATTGAGCATCTGACCCATTGCCTTCATAACCATCAAGCCCCTCCAGACCACTGGAGCCTCCTCACCGACCAGATAGCCCATGGACATGGATTTAACACCGTAGTTACTCAGCGGGATCAGCCGATTATCTATAAAATCAATAAAACACTTCTTTGCCCTTGCAGCGAGAGTACCGTAGGTGTAGCAAGAGGAACACCTACGCAAAGAAAGCCTGGGTTCACCAGATAGGTTCAACAATTTGGGTATCGAAGGACCGAATACGTCTGTATCTAATATTCCCGTACGTTTGCCTTGCCTCACCAAGGCCAATGCCAGATTGACTACCGTAGACGGAGAGAGGGGAAAGAGTAAGCATGCAAGCAGCCTCGTCCAACGCGGAAAATGGCCGGGCCGTACCCGCAATGGTAGATTTTCCGACACCGCCTTTTGCGGAGGAAACAGCTAGGACCTTGGAAACGTCCCTTATAGGTCTCTTTGTCGGGAGACCTCGCAGAGCTCGTGGGATTTGGGGTGGGGATCCTGACTGGGGAAGGCCCTGGAAGAGAGTAAAGTAGAGAGCCAGTCAGATTGATTGTGCACTTCCCAGCATGCGATGAAGAATATCAGTGGAGGGGTAATACCAACGGGTTTTCGTGGGTCAGTGACCTAAATGTAGTGAAGAGGCGTTTTAAAGACATTTCTGGCGATGGTGGAATAGCGGTAATTAGATTATCAGAGGGGTGTTGGAGCATGCCGAGGAAGAGCAGACAGAATGTTGGCGCGGCTCTTAGCGAGTCGAGTGCGTTTTCCCTTGGGTGTAACGGCTGTGCGTCCTTGGCAAGTTGGGGGTGGAACAGCATGCACCCGGGCCGGAACCGTGCTGCGAGCGTTACCAGACTACTGATCCCGAGTACGCTGCAGTACCGTACAGTTCGGTACGGTGCAAGCATGATATGTATGATACCCGAGCATAGCAGTGGGGGGGAGCTTTGAAAGGTTCCCACCACCATCCTATGATACCCCCAAAAATACCGTATACCCACATATGATCACGACCCGATCCCATGTTATGGTGCCATAAATCTCCAGTCCTTTGCCGTAGTCACCCGGCCGCTGGAGAGAAAAACACCAATGAAATTATCCCGCGTCCAGATACCGATACGGAAACACCAGTTTAGATGTTATATGATACCGACAAAAAAGATTTCCGGACCCAACATCCCAGATCCCCTCTGCGGGTTCGGCAAGCGTCCTTTATGAAGAGCCGGCAAAACCAGATAAACCCCGGTGGCCCGGGGCCCAACACCGCAATGATCTCAGACGAGAAGTCTGCCCGTTACTCTGTGCTTTTTCCATTTCCCACCCCGGCAACATATTATGGTACTGGCATTGTAAAGTAACCAACCAACCCCTCAAAATGACCCCCCGCCTCCTCCTCTTCCCCCTCTCCTCTCCTCGGCCCCTCATCGCACTGTTATCCCGCCGCGCACCTGGCCTGACCCCCGCTATATCATTCCCCGCTCCTCCGCTGAAGGTTGCCTGCTTAATGCCAGCGTCGAAACAATTCTTACACCAGAAGAGCAGCTCCACCGAAGCCATGCACGAATCGCCATCCTCCTCCGAGGGGAATGATTTGATATTTGTCCGTTCCTTGAATTTGTACGTCGTCTCTACTGCAGCCCCACACTGACCATCGCTGACAAACGGAATTGAGCTTCAGGAAAGCCACAACGGGCGTAGACTCATGGGGCCGTAAACGCCCCCAACCGATCCTCCTAACCCTCTGGCTCAGGAGCTCCATCGCGCTTGCCGGCTCAACGGACCACCTCCCATACTCCATAAACTATGGCACGGTAACGAAGGCCATAACCGCGCGCGTCGAGAACGACGCCTTCAATTCTCTGGAACACCTTGCGGAGGATGTAGCGCACACTGCATTAGGGCCGGACATCAATGCCGGTTGGGTTAGGGTCGTTGTCGAGAAACCAAGAGCACTGCTCCGCGCGGATGCAGCGGGGATCGCAATCACTAGGAGGAAGAATGCCGAGGGAGAAGTGCTCGCTGAAGGCAGTGACCGGGTGTTCGTCAAGGATCTCCGACTTGTAACAATTATTGGCGTGAACCCCTGGGAACGGGAGGAGAAGCAGGCAGTTGTGATCAATCTAACCATGCACAAGGAGAACAATCCCAGGAGGCCCCTAGAAGTGGTTGAGGGTGGAAATTTTGACCCGCACTATAACTTCCGCTCCGTGGCCAAGCGCGTGACGGAGCACGTCGAGGCCTCGGATTACAAGACTGTCGAGGCGTTTGTTACGGCCGTTGCGAAGGAAGCTTGTGTCGGGTGCGGGATTTCAAAGATCACGGTGCGGGCGGAGAAGCCGAGTGCTCTGACGTTCGCAGAAGGTCCTGGGGTGGAGATTACCAGGGAGCGGTCGTTCTTCCTTTTAGAAGAAAGCGCAGCGGAACCGGAAGGAAAGCACGATGTATTCATCGCTCTAGGCAGTAACGTCGGAGACCGCTTCAAAGCCATAAAAGAGGCTGTTGCAGAAGTGGAGAACAGGGGGATAAAGGTTAAGAGAACGAGCAGTTTGTATCAGAGTGCCCCCATGTATTACCTTGACCAACCGACATTTTTGAATGGGGTTATTCAGGTCATCTCCATCTCCAGCCCTGCTTATTGATGTGGATGCTAACATATAACAGGCAGAGACAACACTATCACCGGACGATCTATTGAAGACCCTAAAAGACATAGAATCCCTCCTTGGCCGGTCAAAAAGTATGGAGAACGGACCCAGATCAATAGACCTGGACATACTCCTCTACGACAACCTGGTGCACGAAACTCCACACCTCACCATCCCGCACCGGAAAATGCTGGAACGGGAGTTTGTTCTCCGGCCCCTGTGCGAGTGCGCTCCCTTCCTCTCCTCGCCCTAGTAACACACAGTGCTAACTCAACCAGCATATCCCCAAACAAACCTCACCCGCTAACCTCCACCGCCTTCAAGCACCATCTCGATGCCATCCCCCCGCCACCGCCCTCCACTCCACCACTCCGCACATTCGCCTTTCTCTCCCCACACCTCCCCCCACTTGACCCTTCAAACCCCCACCGAAAAACATACATAATGGCAATTCTAAACCTGACCCCAGACTCCTTCTCCGACGGCGGCGAGCACACAACCAGCAACATTGTTTCAACCGCACGGGAATTGGTCGCTGCGGGAGCTGACATCTTGGATTTGGGCGGGTGCAGTGTCCGCCCACACGCCACACCGGCTAGCCTAGAAGAGGAGCTCGCAAGGGTAATACCGGCGATCAAATCCCTCCGCGAGGCCGGCATAGAGACCCCGATAAGCATAGACACATACAGAGCCGCGGTAGCCAAAGCCGCAGTATCCGCCGGTGCGGACCTAATAAACGACGTCTCCGCCGGAACTTTAGACAAAGATATGCTCAAAACAGCGGCGGACCTCGCCGTGCCCATCTGCCTAATGCACATGCGCGGTGACCCCTGCACCATGGGCTCTTTGGCGTCCTACCCCACCGGTGTAATCCCCGCCGTCATCTCCGAGCTCTCGGAGCGCGTTCGCGCCGCCGAGGAAGCGGGCGTGCGTAGGTGGAATATATTACTCGACCCGGGTATTGGGTTTGCCAAGGATATGCGGCAGAACCTAGAGTTACTCAGGGGGCTTGCGGAGGTTACGGGTGGCATTGCATTGCCGTGGGTTTTAGGACCCAGTCGAAAGGGGTTTGTCGGCAGGATTACGGGCGTGGAGGTTGCGAAGGAGAGAGCGTGGGGGACTGCGGGAACCGTGGCGGCGTGTGTTGCGGGTGGGGCGGACGTGGTTAGGGTTCATGACGTCGCGGAGATGAAGAAAGTGGTTGATATGGCGGACGCTATTTGGAGGCAATAATGTTTTTGCATCTCCTTTTTCCTGTACCCCCGTGCTAGCATGTAACAGCGCGTACACCAACTTACCCACCGATTCACTCACTCACTCGCTTTACTAAATTACAACTGAAATACAAATATCCCATCCCGCTGAAAAGATGAAAAGGTAAAAAATAAAAATAAAATAGAGAGCCGGAAAGCGAAAGGAAGAAAAGAGCGGGGAAAACTCCCAATCACAGAATATCACTCCCTCCAGTAATCATTCTCCCCGCACGCCCCCACCCCACCCCTCCACCCCCCGTCTAACAACCCCGACAACCTCCTCCGCAACCTCCGCACTCGATGCTTCAAACTCAAACTTACTCTCCTTCCCCCCACCCCTCCACACAAAAATCTTCAACCCAACACCCCCCCGGCCACAAACCTTCGCGCCTATAATGGTACTAACATGCACGCTCTTGGTCTTCCTGACGGACTGGATATGCAGATATTCCCCATCGATGGCGAGAACCCTCTCGTAATGCCTCGACAAGAAGGAAATCGGGGTCGTCGATTTCCTGTATAGTGTGAAGCGCTGGTAGTCTGCCTCTGGCGGCACGTAAGCTTCCGCCTCTGGCGCCTCGAGCGCCGGCGGGGGAGGAGGGGGGAGGGGGAGGGTGGGGTTCCGGACGAGGTCGAGATCGGTTTGGGCTCCCAACGTGCTGACCGGGGAGGCTAACGGGAGGATCGCCAACGTGGGTGCGTTGGTGATGCGCAGGATGTGGTGCTCCGGTTGTAGGGATTTTTTCTGGCAGATCTGCTGGAGAACGGTGGAGAGGGGGGTGGTGGTGCTCACGCTTAGGGGGATGGAGTGCGCGAAGGTGGACGTTGGGGAGATGTGGATCCGGAGAGTTTTAGTGGGGGCTGCAGCAGTTGTTGCGGTGGGGGGAATGGTGGGGAAGGTGGAGGCGGGGGAGGAGGTTAGGAGAGGGGTTGAGGGGGTTGGAGGGATTATCTCTGTCGTTGGGATTGTCAGTGTTTGGGTCGTGGTGGTAGTGGCTACAATGGCCTTCTTTGGAGGGCTCGTGTTCGGTGTTGTCCTTTCGTTTTCTAGATCTGTCGCCAAAAATCAACTACTGCCCAAGTGGTTAATAAGAAGAGCGTGCGAGAACAAACATTGCTCCCCTGTAGCCTCCACAAGTGCAAACTCCCCCTCCAATTTTGCCGCGCCACCTCTCCCGCCCCGTCGCCCACCCTGCGCTATATAGGCCGTAATCGGCTGCGTCCTCTCCAACGGCGGGAAATCTTCATCCGGTTCCCCGTCATCGACCATTCTCAGTACCCACCTGTTGATATCGCACAACTCGTCTCGTAACTCTGGCTCCTTCTTGTCTTCAATGTACTTGTACAACGTGAACCCGATTGCTTCCGCCACTATAGTATCTCCAGACTGGGCTTTTCGCGTTCTCTTGATTATGACTTCGAATGGAGAGGAGGATTTGGAATACGGGATGTACAGCTTCAGTGTTATTGGTGCCAATTCCCCTTTTCCGGCGAATTGCTGATAATCCTCCATCGGATTTGCAGCCTCCGTTTCCTTCGCCTTGAGCAACTTGGTTAGCATAGATACCGGCTGAATCATGGAAACCGGGCGTATGGGTGGCGGTAAAGCGTGAAATATCCCGGGAGACGACGGTGCACCCCCCTCATTGGAAAAGACACTTGTGGGATCAGAGTCTGCTGTTTCAGTAAAGTCCGAATCAAGACTGCTTGCGTCTGAATCGTCGTCGTCGTCGTCTCTGAAACTACTCGCGTGGGTTAAAGAGGAGGAGTTCGGGGATGAGTGGAGTTTGTCTGTGATCTCGGCGTGGAGCCGTTCCGAGGCGCCCATCAGGCTGCTAGAGAGGATATCTTCGGAAGGTTTTGGGAGGCTGTTGGAGGGGTGGTGGACCTTTCCATTAAAGTCCACATCCCCATGTGAGCCCCCGCGAACCCGGCGCACACGGGAGCGGGCGGTGGAGGAGTCCTGGACTCTGGGGCCGGAGCGAAGCGGCGACGACCCCGAGCGGGGACGTTGAGGAATTTCCTTCTTTGCGAAATCGAACTGCGCCTTCTGCGGAGGACTATGTCCATATCAGCAACGGGACGTTCACATAGGATGCAACTGAGCATACGCAGTCCCCGCCTCCTCATCCTCTGACTCCTCGCTCATGTCAGAGCTATCATCCTCCCTGTCCCCGTGGTGTTCCCTTCGTACCTTCTCTTTAACTTCCTCCAACCTCCCAGTACCCCCCGCTAACCCCATATCCACAGCATCAGTACTTTCGTTTGAAAAATGTGATGCAAGCCCAGGCCTCATGAACGACCTTCCCAGACCCACACCCCCAACCTGCTGTTGCTGATAGTGCTGCTGCAATGACGGTACAGGACTGCCATCTGCGTCTCGGTTGGACAGCGGCGCCCGGCTAGTAAAGTACTCTGTCGATGCACCGACGGGTATCGGCGGAGAATAAGTGCGACGAATCTCCGAGGGACATCCCCAACCGGCGTTCTTGAATGCGGGGACATTGAGCGCAGCTGGGTTTACCGTGATCAAGCGCTCGCCGACGCCATCTCGCACGCAGTGGAGGTAGCGGTTGCGAATGCGATACAGAACAAAGCTAGAATGGCGGGAATGTCAGTGATAAGAGACCACAGGTTTAACAGTTGGGGGGCGCTTACTCTTGATTCTGAAGAAGCGACATAACGACGGCGGTGAGTCGGTGTACGAGCGGAGAAGGGGGTTCATAGAGAGGTTAGCGAGGAGGCATGTTCGGATAGGAAATTCGTCTGGCCTCAGCGGGGGAGGGGGATAGTCTGCGGTAAGGGATGTTCAAGAGGCTCTGTGATGGAATGAGTGGGATGGAGAGGTTGGTAGCTATTTTAGATTGATCGCTCGGGGAGGGCGGATAGCTGGGCGGGGGGGGAGGGGCGCATAAGCGCCGTGTAACATGTCAGGTCATCTCGTGCGACAAAGAAGATTGGAGAAGCTTTTACCCGCACGAGGCACTTCACAGTGGGTATCGGGGGGATCAAAATGGATTGCCAGGCGAGAGGATGAGAGAAAATGTAAGAGGGACTGGTGCAGTCATTATCGCATTCTAGCAGTCGCCACAGATTCCACTCCCTTATAGAAATAATGTGCTCGAGTATGATACGATACACCGTCTCGGGTGCAGACCTTGCTAAAGAATTTGTGAATCCGATGATGTCCCACAAGGTTTGCATGAGGTTCCGCACCATAAGCGTCCGAAGAGGCATAGAGAACCTGGCGGTGGGGGCTGGTTCGGATGGCATGATATTGAACACAGAGATGGTGGTGGACAGTAAGGTGGCCCTCCAACCCGCTGTCGATCCCCCATCAGAACCTCACTTACCGACCAAGGCCAGCGCGAACCTTATCGAGAAAAGGCGGTAGCCAAGGAAAGTACCCGAGCATATCATACCAGGTATTGTATGAATAGCAGTCTACGAGCACCGACCGGTACGGTAATGATACAGCGCAAAGCTCCTCAAACCGCGACCGAGAAAATCGCAAACCCGATCTCTGATTAGGGGGTCCCAGCAAGGAACCCCGAGACAATAAAACCAACGAGCACAAGTACTGCCCTGTACAATATGTGGACCCTTCCCAAGGGAAGAGATGACGAGAGAAACTAGGCGTGCAAAATGCAAAATTTTCATGAGAGTGAGGCATATACGAGTAGGCCAGCCAGACATTTGCGATGCGGGGTATGATACTCACAAAATTGAGCTGGTATCATACAGAACCTGTACAAATATCACACCAAACTAGGTATGATACCCCGGAAGAGATGCTAGCCTACTATCGTGATCAAGTTATTCAGAAGGTTTGGCGACCCTGTCCCTCGATCCCGCCTGGGCGCAAGAACCATAAAGTTGGCCCCAAATTGAGGGCCATAAATTCCCACTTCCACCATGCTTTCATGACCTCTGCCAGTGTAACGCGTATGATCTTGCAGCAGTGATCCTCAAGTATGATTTTAGCAGGAGTGCTACAAGATGCTTGAGAGTTGGCCTCCGGGTGACCTCTTGAAAGGGCCAAGTTTGGAAAGCTCGACATTTGTCATGCCCCCGATGCGAGCGACGAATCCCCGGCAACATTGTTGACAGCTGCCTGCCACCTAGGCCACACTGCGATAGAGCCGTGGGGTACTGCAGCTCCCACGGATCCCTTCGCCACCAATTCTGCCTCTCATTCAGCTGCCAGGACCCACCAACAGCGTCTCTAAACCCAGAAATTATTCCAGCATACTTGTGCTAGAGTACAATAGCAATCTTGCAGCCATATTCCCGAACTCAACGTCCCGACAGAACAGCTGATTTGCATGAAAAAAGTCATCACACACACACACACACACACACACACACATACACACATACACACACACACACACACATACCAGAGCTCTTCAGCCAGAAAAAACCCCATAAGGAGCTCCCAGAGTCGGAGATTGATGGCTCCGGTCCGAACCATACCGCACTTTCCCACTTCTCAATTGCGAAAAGAAAAAGAAAACGGGTGGGAATCTATAAAAACCACCCAATTCCACCTAATTCCCCCTATTCGCCTCAAACATCATCACCACCGCCTTCATGAACTCCTCGGACTTACCAACCCACACTGAAACCTGTACCACAAAATCACCATCGTCCACATTGTCATGCTACACTTCCCCTCTTCCGTCCCAGAATATGTAGCCAAAGCGGTACCCATCCCGCCCCCAAACCATACTGATACACCCCCATTAATTATCGCGGGAAGACCCTCTCCGCCGCTGAGGATCTAAAGGCCAAGTGTCTCCACCCAGCGACCAAAGAACCGTACATCCTCTCTTTCAAGGCTGGCAGAGACTGAGCGGCACAAGTGCTCCATCCCCCATCTCCCCTCGCCCACGACCCAAACCATAGCTTATATGGCACGATGATGAAAGGACGGTATTACCCACACCTTGGTGATGGAACTCGAAAGCAAGGAGGACCTTGATTACTATGCGAAGGATCTAGAGCGCCTGCTGTTTGAGGAGAATTTTAAGGGGAGCGGATTCAATAAGGTTCAAGTTACAGATTTTGTGATTGGGGAATATTAGAGCTGGTTTGTGTGGGGGTAACTTTGCACAAAGCCTTATTTCACGGGAAATCACTCGGGTCTCGTGTTTTCAGAGTCTTAATGGAAACGCTTTTCTCAGAGCGCTCACCAGGGAGTCAAAGTTGGGAACCTCAATACTCGGGCATGAGGGAGAGATAAGACGCAGGATGGCTAGCCAAAACTACAGGGCACCAGAATCCCCCCCCTCAAGTATCCGGAACCGGCGGAACGGGTGCCACTGCTATCATTCCGGTACGCACCCCGCCCACTCGTATCGGCCAATGGCAAATTGCCTTCATATACACGAAACGAGTGATCTCTGGTGAACCATTCTTGGCTACCCAAGCACGAACCAGAGCCAACCCGAACCAGGCACTACTAAACTATAACCCCGAACGCGCTCGGCGATCCAGATCCAGGACCCAGGGGTTACGGCACGATAACAACTCGGGCGGCGGGGGGGCGAGAGGGGTGCAGTGCCGCCCATGACAGGGGGGGCTATGCCTAATATTGCACTCGAGATATACTGCGCATATCGTACCACCGATACCGGCACTCGAGTACTGTACGAGTACTCGTACAGAACGAGACTTCAACCGCGCCAAAGCATTACCTTGGCAACCACAGAGCAAGCGAATAATACATAACGGGTAGAATTTCAGCAATTTCTATTGAGTTCCCGGCATATTGGTATTGTATGAGGCTATACACACCAAAATTGAAAAAAAGGGGGTACGATAGCACTTTTTAGAGAGAAGGTCAGCGAAAAGCAGGATTCACCATTACCAACAGTTGCACCTCAATTAGGATTGATTAGTGTTCCTGTTTCTTTTTTTGAAAGCATCCTACTATTTTTTTTTCACCTTCTCGATATTCCCTCACCTTCCTATTGTTATTCGTGGAGCGTCGACGAGGAGCCGGCGGGGTGACGGGGTGTCGGTGAATGGTTAAGGGTTCCAGTACCGGTATATTCCTACTGTGGCAGGTTCATGCTTGGTTAATCTCGGGGCATTTCCTTCTGTGTCCCCGAGTTTTACCGGGGTGACTGTCACCATGGGGGGGCCGTCGCTCATCGTTTTTCTCTCGGCCCGGAGCGATCTCCAACGGTAAGTCCTCAACTGCAGTTTACCTAGAGGGAGACCAAAGATGATTGTTGTCTGTGTCAATAGGCCGATATCCTGTTCTCCGGGGTGCTCCTACCAAGGGCTTCTCGATACCGGTATCACTATCGACTGCAGTAGTGGAGATATAGAAACAAATAGCTAAAGCGAGCAAACAATTTTGGGTTATTAAGTGTGACACCCCCATCACGATACAAGCCCGACTGGGGTGTCAGTGTACCTGTACGAGTAGTCTAGAGCTTAGAGTGACACCCGTGCCCTGCTGATCCCCGATCCCCGAGTGGCACCCTGCCCCGAGCCAACACTGCATGGGATGCTATATGACACAGTATTAAACATACCAATATCATACCCTGCTATTGATGGCATCTCGGAACTTTCTAGGGCAGCAGGAGGGAAAATGGTCTCACTCTTGTAAGCTAGTGTATGCTAGCTTTGTAATTTTTTGTGTGGGATCGGGTAAGCTACAGTATTAAATCCACCCAGCAGCCTACCGTATTTTACCCCGGCCCTGCTCTGACGGTATTCTACCGTAACAAACAATAATACCAACACTCCTGATAAAATTTCATGCTCCCCCGTCGCATTCCCCTTCTCCCCCGACTATACGCCTTTCGAAAACGCACTAAATTCTCAACAATGACAGGAAGCGCACAGGTTAAGCGGAATCCGCATGTATGCCCCCCCCTCTACTACCCCCACTCCTCCTCCTCCTCCTCCTCCTCTAGCATGGAGAGTGGAGAGAGAGAGAGAGAGAGCAATTGATTTACTAACAGTGGTAACCCACCCATTCAGCCAGAGTTCAAATCCGTCGAATCCTCCCGTCCACCATTCGACGAAGGCACAAGCTTTTCCTACACAAAGACTATAAAAACCGACTGGGTCCCGGGCTCAGGAGCCAATAACGACGACTGGAAGAAGCACAAAACTGTCGAAATCGATCCTTATGGTGAGGGGAGAAAGCCGGTCGATAACTACAAACTCTTGATTTCGGGAATAATTCCCAGACCTGTACCCTACCCCCCCCCCCCTGCTCTGCAAATCCATAAACAAACTGATGAATTTTACGAAAAAAAAAAAAAAAGATTGGTTTCGTATCAACAATCTCACTCGATGGCCTGAGCACGAACCTCGGCCCTTTCAGTTACACAGCCCTGGTGAACCACGACCCCCCAATCTTCTGCATTGGCTTCAGCGGCGGGGTGGATAATCCAAAAGACTCCTGCCGGAATATCCTCGAGACCAAGGAGTGCACGATCAACGTCATCAGCGAGTTCTTCCAGGAGGCGGCAAACTACACGAGTATTAATGCTCCGCATGGAATCAGTGAGTGGGCGCTTAGCGGGTTGACGCCGGCAAAGAGTACGAAGGTACGGCCGGATAGGGTTGCCGAGAGTGTGTTTAGTGTTGAGGCGGTGTATCGGGCTCACCATGAGTGGGTTAGTCCAGGGAGTGGGAAGGGTTCTGGGGTTTTGGTCATTCTCGAGGGTATGTAGCTATATCCCTCGCAAAATTGGCTACGCTGATAATTGATGGTGGGTGGGGCGTTCTAGGAGTCAACTTCCATGTCCGCGAAGATGCCCTCAACGAGGAAGGGAACATCATTGACCCTGCGGTGCTTAAGCCCGTCAGTCGTCTAGGTGGGATCTCATACAGCAGAACTACGAGTGGGTTTGAATTGCCCAGACCGGAGTTTAGGAAAGAGGTCGAGAAGGAGGAGATTAAGGGGTTGGTTAAGCCGAAGGCCGAGGGGCAGTAGATAGATATGATGCAATGCAGGGGAGTTGTAACAGGCTAGCTCAACTTAGAGGGTTATCATACAAACGAGATAAGTTACCGATAGATCTCTGCCAATAGAACCAGCCAAATTTATGTGAGGCTTCCTCAAGCTGGTCCCGTGGTCTGTCACAACAAACCCACCCAACTCCCACGCAATCAGCAGGATCCCAGCCATCCCCCATTACCGAGCACTGATTCGACTCGAACCACCAGCCCCTGAAGCAGGCAAGGGAATGACTGAAAAGTACTTACTCGAGCCCGATAGGAGGATAGTCAAGTCAAGGTCGCTTATTAGGAGATTTGAAGACTAGGCTAAACGGCTATCAGCCTGTTCAGTCACTACCACGAGATACTCTTCCGATTCCGGACCCCAGAGTCAGCCAGACGTACCGGTACCATACTAACAGCGGTGGATGCCGTACTCCACAATATCACACAAGGTGAAAAGGGAAAAACACAGTATGTTTTTCCCCCCATTTCCTCTTTTCCGCTTTTTCCTGTTCTCTCTTTTTATTAAAATACTGGTATTATAACCTTGGGGCTTGGAGATTAAGCATGTATTTGCGGCAAGATTCCCAAGCGGTCTATCGTCAACGACCAGATTAAGAATTAGATGTTCTGTTTCGAGCTGACTGACCCACCGGTACCGGTAGCCCCCACGAAGCCGTGATCAACTGCACAGTACTGTACAGGTACGAGTACCGGTGCTCGAGTACCGGTAGACTATGCTATGGCGCCATATCCGCACCCACACTCCCAGAAAGGCTGAGGGGAGGCGAAGGACATGTTCCGGTATCTGAAGCACCCCGGTGGCCACGTCTACGAGTAAGCATAGCATACCAGTATGGTACTAGGGGTCCAATCAGAATTCGTCCGTATGATATCATACTAACTACTCGTACAGGCTGACCGGAAGGGGGAAAAGAGCCGGGCGAACGTAGAAAGCTCAGAAATCACAGAAACTCGTTTGCTCGTTGGCCGGGTGACTCGGGAACTGATGGGAACAAGTTCGCTTCACTCACCTCCCTTTCCCAAAAAGAAACCTCCACGGAGGCACAGCTCCTAAATTTACCGGCAAGGGGCACCCTCGCAGGAGTAGACTAAGGGCCCCGAACTGGTGAGTATTCACTACGGATTGGGCAACTTTGATTGAAAGTAACCCAATTTGAGGGCTTGCCCCTGCCAGAAAAACTTAGACGCTGGATCATACCTCTGTACTGTACTTGTATTCTCTTCGGGTTTTCTAGGCTACTATAGTGTTTACCCTAACTTCTAACCGACAAAGCCCCCAAAATAAAATAAATTAGTCCACCTTCCTCTTCCCCAAACACCAATCAATCAAAACTCCACTACTCCTACCTTATACTAGTACCATACAATACTTGCACTAGGTGTTATTTAATGTTGAAGCGCTTCTCTCCTCTTATTCCCTTTCCTCCTTGCCCATACCCTAGCCTTCTCCAAATACGCGAGCATTTCCCTCTCTCCCCAATTTCCCACAGCCTCCTTTTCTCTTCCTTTATTGTATCTACAGTCCCACTGACTTTTCCTTTCTTCCCTCCACTTTCCAACTCCTCTCCTTCTGCTCCATTCTCCTTTTAAAATCCAGTCTCCTTTTTACTTCCTCTTTTTCAAATGATATTCTATTTAACATCATCTATTTCTTCAAATCCTTGATCCCGCTCTATTGTTTATTGCATCCTTTTCATCTTCTTTTTTCTATGGTTTTCAGTAAAATAATATGTGATTCCTCTTCTTCTTTCTCTTACACTCATACAGTTATCTTTTTTTCCTATACTTTACTCTTTCTATCGGTCTGTATCTTGTTCTTGTTTAGACTAAAAATTTACTTTTCCATTTGTTTCTACTATGTTTCCACTTTTTCGACTACTTTAAAATATTCCTACACGTATACTTTTCTCTTACCTGATACTCTTTCCAACTCCTCTTCTCTTTTTCTCCTCTACTTTTCCTTTTTACAACTTAAAACGTTTCGTTCTCCCTCCTTTTTCTTTTTTGAACACTTTTTTATCTGAGCCCATCTATCCTTTGACTCTTATCTGCCTCCTCGTACTTGCACTAGCATATACAAATCGATATAATATTTTGTCCTATTCCTTTAAATTCCCCTCCAACTTCCTTATTCTACTTCCTTATCTTTTATGCTAACCAGTCCCCTTCTCTAGCTTTCCTCAAGTCCCTTGATTCTCTACTCATACTAATTATTTCCTTTGTTTTCCTGTGTAGTCCTCCTTCACCCCCCTCGAAGCCTCCTCCAATCCTCTCATTTCATCCTCCACCAACATCAAAATCCAACCCATTCCCAAATTCCATATTCGGCTCACTTACCCTTAACCCCCGTACTCGTACAGTACCGGTACTGGCCAATTCGCAAAGCACAGACCGCCCCTAAGGTTACCAGGGCCCAAGCGCATGGCAACACCAGCAACACTACCGTACTCGTACAATGCAGTGCTCGAGTACCCGATGGACAATCCATACTTTGCGACCTGGCTAGTACTGTGTAGATGCTTGGCAGTAGTCATAAATAATCCTTCGAATATCTGCAGCACAGTACATCCCCCGAACAGCGCACCGGGGACTACCGACGCGGTACAGCATCAATACGGCACATCAAAAGTCCGGACATTGTGAGCAAGAAATGAGCGAGAACAGGAATTGGGGCTCTGGAAATTTGGGGGGGATGATCATCGTGGGCGGTATCCACATCACGCGGGGCCGCGCATAAGGGCCGGTGTCGAACACTTGGTCGGGTGCTGTGGGTTAAGCTGGCTGGAGCTCTGGTCTGTGTGGTCTGTGGTTGGATGTTGTTTTCTTGCGCTTTGTGGACTTTACGTCCGGTTGAGATCAAGTTGGAGTGGTGAGTGGGTTCATGATACAACCCGCCAGGCTCCGTTGCTCGCACCTGTTTTTGTGGCGGTGGAGAGTTTGCTTGGGGGGCTCTGCCTGTCGGGTCGTGGTGGGGCTCGGGTGTGGAGCTTATGCTTGGGTAACATGATAATACGCTGATCTCAGACCGCAGGCCGCCGTGCTGTGCCAGCACTCGCATCATAAGCCATTATTCTCCCCTCGTGTCCTGCAGGCAGAACGGATTGCCACGAGTGTTGATCTCAAGCGCCAGGAAGACCGTGTGCAGCATATGATACAAGACAGACAAGGGGGAAGCCTTGAACCGAAGGGCCTGCAGGATGCGAGCTTAGTAACACATATTAACTCGTGTCCCAGCCATCGCCGTTGGAGTTTTCATTCTTGGTAAGTTAACCGTCCCCCTTGCGAGATTAACACCTACAAGTAATATGGATGTCTGTCCAAAAATAGAGGGAAACCTAAAATAAAGGTTGCTTCGAGGAGCGTTGGCATTGTTTTTTTTTTCGGGTCTGAAGTGCGCCAGTTAAAGAAATAGTACTTGTAGCGCTCATGAGCAGCAGGCGGCAAAAACGTTCGGACGACAGCCAAGGGGGTATAAGCACAACCGACGAGTGACGAGCGACGGACCATCCCCAAGCACACGAGAACATTCGACACCGATATATCGAAGCATACCCCCCCCCCCTTTCCTCTCCCCTACTCTGTCGAAACCTAACAGTATTCTTTTGACATCGGCATATAACAGGGCGAGGAAGAGTCACAGACACTATCGGTATCCCATCACCCTGGAATCGCACTAAAAGCTCTGCCTAAATCCTCTCGTATCGCTAGCGGCGCACAGCACAAGCAGCTCTCGCCCACGCTTTCTCGGCAGGCCGGTCTCGGCGGGCCTGGCGTGCTTCACACCGTTCCGACCATTGTGTTTGCTGAGATTGGATGCGATGGAAGAGTAAGTTTCCCTGTCACTCGCTGCCCTCCCGCAGCTACTCGAGTAGCTGGATCAGATATCTCATCCCTAGTTCCACCGGATTCTAGTCTATGTAATTCTAGTGGCCGAACTGTGCTGGAATCTGGTGGAATAAGCTAAACAGAACCGCCTAGCTATCCCGCTGGGTCGGGAAACGCTTGAATTTTAATGCAAGGGCTGACAGTCCCTCCCAAGGGTTCCGTTCCGAGAGATAAATGTCCACGGCCACTTTAGTGGCAATGTCAACAGCCATAATGTCATGAATATCGTCAATCACTATCACAAAGGCAAGAAGATAGAAGGTACATATAGTTAAACTATTCCCTTAATGACCTACATGCGGACCAAAGTTCCTAACGCCCTTGCGTAGCACTAGCAAAAAGTACGGCAACCGGCCCTCATTGGATGGTCCCATATAGTCGAAATCGAAATTTTGTCGGCCGCGAGGATATTATTGACCGTGTGCAGAGGCTGGTGGATGACACCCGGCATAGCCGAATTGCTCTCTGTGGATTAGGTGGTTCTGGGTGTGCCCCCTCTTTTGCCTCGCCTGACGAGCGCCCATGGAATTATCTTATTAATACGCTTTAGCAAAACGGAAATCGCTCTAGAATACGTCTATCGGAAACGGGATCAATGTCATATCTTCTGGGTGCATGGGAGTGAGTTTCCGAAGTTTAGCGAAGATTATGAATACATCCTAGAGTGCGCCGGCGTTCGTCTGCCTGCTCTGGACAACGAGAGAGACGAGCAGGATGTACTGTTTGGGGTGAGGGAATGGCTCGAAAGCCCGGATAGCGGGGACTGGATCTTGGTCCTCGATAATGCCGATGACGAGGAGAACTTTAAAGTTAATAAGGGCGCCATATCAAAATTCGTACCCCAAGGCTCGAAAGGCGTTGTGATATTCACCACAAGATCTCGTCAAGTAGCCTATCGGGAAGGCTGCACCTTGCTGGAAGTGGGAGGTATGACGGATGAAGAGTCTAGGGACCTGCTCCTCCGTCGAGTCGACAATTTAGGGCCCTTGGAGGAAAGGGACAAATGGGCTGTTGGTGTGCTAATTGGCGCGTTGGATTGCCTCCCTTTGGCTCTCGCTGGTGCGGCAGCCTTCATGACTGAGACAAGCACATGGCCTTACGAGTACTGGGAAATCTTCCAGGAGAATGGAGAGCGAAAAAGGGACTTGCTTCTGAGGAAATTTCGGGAAATTCATCGAGAGGCGGATATGACGGAGAGTATTCTCAGCACCCACTTCACCACATTTGACCGGCTCAAAGAGCAGAAGCCTGCGGCTGCAAACCTCCTCCTCCTCATCTCATTCTTAGATCGCCAGGACATACCGGAGGACCTATTGCTTCACTCCGGTCTGCCTGGGACGGATAACCCTATCGATTTTCGTATGACTATTGGGGCGCTTATGGGGCTCTCCTTAGTCACCAGGTCAGCAGATAAGTTACTGTATGATCTTCATCAATTGGTGCAGCAATCCGTACAGGCGTACGTCTCCTACGACGAGGCTTGCCATTGGCGGGAAACAGCTCTAGAGGTGATTTGGCGAGTATTCCCTGACTACGACTACGGCCTAGGACATCTTTGTGCTGCTTACGTTCCGCACGCACTCTTTGTCACCCGGGATTCGACGGATGCTAAGGTTGGCCTTATCTGTTACCGTATAGCACACTATTTCCTAGAAGTAGGTTACTATGATAGTGCGGAGGTCCAAATCAAACGATGTACCTCTCTTCGGGGCAATACACCTGAAGGCGATCCAGAGCATATAGCAGAGATCAACCTCTTGGCTCGGGTATTGCAAAGCTCGGGCAAGTACCAGGAAGCGGAGGATATTAACCGCCGTGCATTGGAAGTTAGGGAGAGAGCGCTTGGACCGCAACATCCCGATACGCTTACTGTAGTTAGTAGCTTGGCTATAGTTCTGCAGAAGCTAGGGAAGTATGATGAAGCGGAGAGGATGCACCGGCGTGCGCTTGAAGACACAGAAAGAAACCTGGGCCCGGATCACATTACGACTCTCGCTAGAGTCGACAGTTTAGCTAGGATGGTACAGGATCTAGGGAAATATGACGAAGCAGAAAAGATGCATCGACGGGCTGCGGAGGGCTGCGAAAAAGAATTAGGTCCCGAACACCCCGAAACCCTCAGCAAGGTTTACAACCTGGCTTTGGTATCGCGTCGCCGGGGGCAATGGCATGAGGCAGTGGAAATGTCCGAGCGTGTAGTAGAAGGTCGAGAGAAAAAGCTAGGGCCGGAGCATCCCGATACCCTCGCAGGCGTCAGCGGCCTTGCTTTGGCGCTGCGGAAACTTGAGAAATACGATGAAGTGAAGGAACATTTGTCTCGTGTAGTGGAAGCTAGACTGGAAACCCTGGGATCACGGCACCCGGATTTTCTCGCTAGCCTCAACGACCTGGGTGCAGTGCTTCAGGACCTGAAAGCATATGACGAGGCCGCAGGCCTACATCAGCGTGCGCTAGCACTCAGAGAGGAGATCCTTGGTCCGGAAAATCCTGAGACCCTTACCAGCCTTAGCGATTTGGCACTAGCATTGCAGAACCTGGGAAAGAGCGACGAAGCAGAGAAGAAGCACCGAGCGGTGTTAAAGTCTAGGGAGAAGGTATTGGGTCGGAGTCATCATGACACGCTTGCTACCGTCAGCGATCTAGCTTTGGTGTTAGACAGCCAAGGTAACCGGGATGAGGCAGCAGAGATGTTTCGGCGCGCGCTCGAGGGATACGAGAACCAGCTTGGCCCAGATCACCCAGACACCTTCTCCAGCCTTTACAAACTAGCCTCTGTTCTGCGGTCTCAGGGAAATTACAGCGAGGAAGCAAGGTTGCATCGGCATGCGGTGAAAATTAGAGAGAAGATACTAGGGCCAGATCACCACTCCACGCGCAATAGCATCACCGATCTTGCCAAAGCACTCCAAGCCCTGGGAAACTATGACGAAGCAGAGAAGCTGTTCCGACGTGTCTGGAAAGGCAAGGAGAAGACCTTTGGGGCCGATCATCCTCAAACCATCACCTCTTGGAACCGCCTAGCCGTCATACTGCAAGACCGTGGGAGGCGGGAAGAAGCACGGAAGATATACCGACAGGTGTTCGAAGCGAGAGAAAAAACTCTTGGACCAAACCACCCCTCTACTCTCGCTAGTGGCAACAACTTGGCGTTATCACTGCAAGACATCAGAAAATATGCCGAATCAGAGGCAATGCATAGACGCGTGCTTGAAGGTTTGGAGAAAGAGCTTGAGCCGGATGACCTCACGGTCATTAATAGTGTCTTTTCCTTGGGTATGTCGATGCGAGGTGGGAGAAAATTTGCCGAAGCAGAGAAGATGTTCCGGCGTGCGCTAGAAGGCTACGAAAGGGTGCTCGGACCGGAGCACGCGGAGACCCTCCTCGGAATCGACCGATTAGCGGCTACACTTCAAGACTTAGAAAAGTATGACGAAGCAGAGAAGCTATACCACAGAGTGTTGGGAGTCCGAGAGAAAACCTTAGGTCCCAGTCACCGACTCACACTCGCCTCCATCTGGAATCTTGGTTGGATTCAGGAAGAACTAGGACGCCTGTCTGAGGCGGAGCGGGACTACCAACGAGCATACGAAGGGCTCTGCGAAGTCCAGGGGAAAGACCACCCTGACACTGCTCTATACTTGAAGTATTTGAGTAGCCTGAGAACGAGATTGTCCGCATCAGTAGATGCTGCGGATGCCGAGAATCGTGAAACCGGCGCAGATGTAGAGCAAAGGGTTACGGCAGCTATACACGCGGAGGCAACCCCAGAGGCCAATCCGGAAGTTGCAGCTAAGATTAAATCCAATAGCTCCGCAGGTGCAAAGCATGATTTACCACCCGCCGCCGAAACCACAAGTATCGCAGAATCTGGGGCGGTGGTGAATCCAAAAATTAGCCCTCCCGAAGTTAACCCGGCACAAGACAAACCATTACCCAGTGATGCTGCAGCTGAAGCTCATAGGAAGCCCAGTCGGAGGGTACGACTGATTCATCTTTTTTGCTTCGGCCTCAGCCATTGAGCTAGCGATAATTGCGAAAGATGGGAGGAAGATCTATGAATTCTCGTAAGGGTCTAAAATTTGGGAGTGTAAATGGGAAAGGAGGGATGGTCGGTCTCGAGGCGGCGGGAAAAAAAAACGACCTTTATATATAGGCCCATATAGGGAATGTACTGTTAATTAGAATAGCTGATGTATAGGTGAAATGCATTTTGGCTTCTCCGGAGCGAATCCCCTCGATTTACATTACTCGAGTAGTATGTTCTACCGCGAGCAGCCATTCCCTCACTCAACGGTGCCCTCCTTTACAAACTTTCCCCCTCCTCACTGTTGTGCCCAACAATGATCAATATGCCCCATTTGCGCCGCCAACACACCAGGGATTCACTATATGGATTTTCCCCCCTGGACGTGAGAGCTATGTATGCGGCCTCCGGATGGGCTCCTTTAGAGCCTTACGCCAGGGGACTCACTTGCAGGAGATTCCCACGGAGAGAGCATCCCAAACAAGCCCCCTAGCACTAGCACTAGCACGCTGAGGAAGGAGATCTACCGCCATAGACTAGCCAATCCCCCCCCCCCAGAAAAAACCATCGCCGCTCACAAAATGTCCGACCTCTACCCACCCGTCAGCGAGGATGCAATTAGGGGGAACAAGGGAATCCGCTGAGCACGGTGATAACATTCGAATGAACCTCCGGTGAAGGGGAATATCAATCCGAGGTTCGCAAGATTATCTTGTTATTTACAATCGTGGGGGAGGAAACTAGTTGGGAAGCAGAGAGGGTTTGGCAGAGTTCTTAAAATAAAATAAAAATTTGGGACGGGAATCGGGGTTAGGGCGGGGGGGAGGTGACTGAAGGATAGAAATTTCTGTCTATGATATATCATAAGACTAGTAAATAACACCGTGTCCCGAGATTTCGGGTATACAACACACTCTTCCAATTATACATACCACTTCTTCTACGCCCAGCTATATAACGTTGTCAACACACGAGGCCAATTCCCCAAGATCTTTAACAAATCTTCATCTTCATACCCTATCACTCGTTCATTTGCTTTTCTATTATATCATATCTTGCCAACAACCTTCGTGACCGGGATGGGTGGAGTCTTGCTTTACCGTCGGGATGGACACACCGGCTGCAAAGTGGCCTATATACCTGCTCGGTTGATGGGATGTCCTGCTAATATAAAGTAGGCACGGAACGAGTGTTTCTACTCCGGCACTATCCCAACACCGACAACCTGGATGCCAACGCGAACGACATCACACCAACCCTCTGCGGCTCTACAAGTACCAGGGGAGATGTTCCGACATCATACATGAAGGGCATTGATTGCAGGCCAACATTATTGCGAGATAATCCGAATGGTAGATGATTTTCGGTAAGACCACCCACCCACCCACCAGCACACCACCTGGTAACTATTAGGAGCAAGAACGCGATAGAACCCAGGAGCGTACTGTACACTATTGTATCGGAGAGGAGGAAATTTCTACCGACAGCCATTTCCTCTTGAAAAATACATTATTGACATCACCCCATGGTGTATTACAACTCCAATCTAGACACAACCCGGTCCGTAGATACAGAAATAAAATAAACCTTGATATCATACATTTGATATTGGCAGCTAGCCCTTGTTCCCTTTTCTCCTCCTCTTCTTTCTCTCGCCGCCCTCCTCACCTCTAATATCCACCTTGGATTCCTCCTCCCCCGTGATGCCGGTAGGTTTCCAGTCAGCTAGCATCCCAACTCCTTCCTCGTCACCAAAAGTCTCTTTCCTCCACTCTCTCAATCGTTTCTTTTTGCCGTATCGCTTTTTATCTCTCTTTTTCTTCTCCGGTTCTCGGAACGTAGCGAGCTTTTTGAGCCCAACAAAGGAGTTGAGATCTGCATCTTCTGCTGCAAGAATGTCTAGGGGCGTTAGACCGTATGATTCGGGTGTAGTTTCTCGATAACGGAAGGTTGTTTTAAGGCTTTTGGAGGGTATCTGTACCGATTAGAAGCTGGGACTGGGAGGCGCTAGGAGGGGGGGTGCTTACTTGGTCTTCGAAACTGTAGCTCTCCTCCACGTGTTGCTCCATTTTACGTTTGAGGCCTCTTTCTTTTTGTTTTCTTTTGCGCTCCTCCTTTTGAAGGGACTTTCGGTTTTTAGATTTTTTGGCCGTCTGGACATCTTTGCTGAATTCCCCTTCACCTTCCGAAGCTCGTGACTCAGCTTCTCCATTTTCAAGGTCGAGTTCGTCATCATCTTCAAGATCGGAGATCATGTCGCCAATGTCGATTTCGTCGTCAAATTTTGGCTTCGTTATTTTGCCTACATCAGCCTCATAGTAGCTATTTCCGAACCTCTTGGCCATCCATTCTCCCCACTGCTCATCACTCCAGTCGCCCTCTAAAAGGTTGTTCAAGACATCCGTTTCAACCTCCTTGTCATCTCCACCTTCACCTAATCCGGCTGCATCTCGGATCATCTTGAATTTCTCCATTAACTCCTCCGTTTTGAGCTTCCGTAGCCTACCCTTTTCCTTCTCCCTAAGTTCCTTCTCGGTCTGTTGCTTTTCACGTTTCTTCTCGCGTGCCTTCTTCCTTCCAGATATCTCTTCTCGTCTCGCAGTATTGGCTGAAATAGCATCACGACCGTAGGTTACCAGCTTACCTCTGGCACAAGCATCAGGATCCTCAAATCGAAAGTTGTATGCTTTCTCGAATTCCTCTATGCGGTCCTCTTCTTCCGAATCGTCATCCTCAAGAGGAGTAAGCCCAGCCGGTTTAGTCCATGCACGAGATTGGAAGAAACGCGTAAGGTATTCTTCGGGATTGTTTGGATCGGCAGTGGCTGGATCGGGAATGTCCACAATAGGTTCAAGCTTCTCAGGTTGTGTTTTTCTAACAAGAAAGCCCGCGCCAACGTCATCGGCATCGGAATCAGGATCGTTTTCGGCAGCTTGGTGCATTTCAAGAACAACCGCACGCTTGAGATCCTCCTGCTCCTGTAAGTAAGTCATAGGCACATCTTCATCGCCGACGTTCCCGGAAAGAAGGTTTTTGCGATGATAATCCTTTAAAAACATTGGCTTTTCCTTCGCATCCTCAATTCCCCCATTAGTATCTCCTCCCTCCTCGCCTTCAATGGCCGAGAAGAAAGTTGTCTTTCCATCATATATTTTCGGGTCTTTATTTCGAATTGCCTCGATTGTAGCTGCGATTTCTTGATCTAGGCGTTTGGTGGCTAGTATCGCTGTATCATCTTCCTCTTCCTCTTCCTCTTCCTCCCCCCCTTCCTCTTCCAGGCCTTGTTTGCCGTATTTTTCTTGCACTACATGCCATTAGCGGCATATAGAGGGTGGGGTAGTGGGGTAGTGGGGTAAGCGTGACCGGGGTGAAACATACAGCGATGAAGCTCCTCGCGCTTCTTGTTGTGCTCGAACCGTCTTGCATACTCCTTATTAATCCTGAGCTTGTGGCCATCTTCTCCATCGGGCAGCTCGGCCGCAGAATGGTACTCTTGGGTGTCTCCGGATTCCGAATCCTCGGAATCAGAGAGAATAAGCTTTGGCTTCTGCTGATACTGGGAGGAAGCAGGATCCTCGGAAAGCAGCTGAAAAGAGGGATCCGACTTATCCCTCTTCGAACGAGGCATGGCTATGGCAGGCAATTTTGTGAGAATAGAAGGGGTCGACCACAAACTATTTTGTTTGATATTATGGTTCAATAAAAATCAACCCTGAAGAAAAACGGTCTATCGTACGCCAAGACGTATTTTGCTGAGTCATCCTGGAGCCTCAAGGACGCGAAACTCAGAAGACCCTCTTATCCGCAGTGTGCCATTTAACTTACTAAGTTGCTCTCCACTCCTCATTGCTCCCCATAAGGAATGCACACCAGACCTCCTCTGAAAGTTGATTCTTCTGCTGCAACAACTGATAACTCTTTTTTTCGCCATGAATAAAGCTCTTGAATCGACTCTTTCGGGTCTGGTCCCATCACTTGTTGGTCCAGTGCCATCGGAGCTCATCGATCTATCCGCGTCGCTCATCACTCAGTCTCGCAATCGAATTAGCAGTTTAAAACCCACAGAGGAGGGGGCCAGAGTTTATGTCTGTGCTCACATCGCGTGCGATAGGTATTGCCACATTTCACGTTTTCATGAGATAGGCCCGCAGCTCTAACTGTGCCGGATAGATTGCGAAAGAAGCTTGACCTTCCGACCATCGAACCCCGTCCACCGCTAGCTAAGAAAGCCTATGGTGCCCTTTATAATCAATTCCACAAAGCTTTGACAACGGTCTCTTTTCGCTCTCAACAGGTCGCCCCACAAGCTCCCTTGGAAACCCCCTCTACCGTTTCTTCCATTTCTACACCGGCTGCCAACAGTTCAAATCTTTCATCCGTCGATCCAGAGATTAGAGCTCATGTCATTACGCTTTGCCGCGCTTTGGGCTGCCCTTCCGCTGGAATTCACATCATTGCCGGAACTACCGCGACGCTGAAGGTTGCGCCAGATGACAAATTCCCTCGCAGAAAGAATTATGCTCTTCCTATCATCACCGCCGCCGCCCTGCTCATTATCGAGAAGCTTCTTCCCGAAGGAAAAACTATCACCGTTGGATCCGCCGGAAAATGGAGACGTGGAGAGGGCTACTGTATGAAGCGTGATGGTGTAATGAAAGCCCTAGGGAGTGTTGGTGAAGATGGATTCACAAAGGATGATACAGACTGTTGGGTTAAGGATCTATCGAAGATGGGAATCAAAGAGCTCGAATGGTTGAATAATGTTCCCAATCAGGGCGGTATCAAGAAACGCAAGGCTGCAGCTGCTGATGAGGAGGACTTACAGCTCCAGGCCGAGATTTTGGCTGGGAAAGCCACCAACACCCCAGCCCGTAAAAAGGCTATCCCGAAGAGTAAATTGGGCGCTAGCTCTGCTCCAGTAGAAAAGAAGAGAGAGGTTGCGTTTACTCCCGCACCCGTTGCCCCAATGGCGGTTAGAATCCTGAGAGCTCGGACTAGGACAGAGGCTAAAGTAAAGGAGAAGGAAGAGAGCGGGATTGGCACTATGAGGCAGGACCCGGTTGATTATCTGAACCCCAAAAAGAGAAGGCAATTCGCAGGGTGGGAGGATGATATGTTGAGGGGATGCACAGAGGTTGAAGAAGCCACGGGTCACAGCCGGGGACAGGGACAACCCGTACCGGTATAATTAATGATTTTCTAAAAATTCCGCTTGTATAACAGCTGTCGTCGTGGGGAGATTGGTATACACGAGGGGATTCGATGATGGCGTTTAGGGGCAAAAAAATAAAATAAAACATGAAGGAAATCGGGTGGATTGGCTTGTATTTTCTGTCTGGATTCTGGGTACCCTTTCACTTCTTTTCTACTTTTTAAGAGATAAAACGGGGTCGGCGGATTAGTCTATCATATATACTTAATAAGGTACTGCGCCAGTATGGCTTCTGCCTTGAACCACCACTATAAACACTTTGCTTCGTGCTCGCACTTTAGTATAGCACACCGGTTCATCACATCGTTCCCCTTAGGCCGCGATTCATGTTAAACAGATCACAACTGCTACAGTGTCGATATCCCTTTGCTGAGCTCTCACGTTCGTAGAGTCTACAGTTTTAGCAACTATGTCTTAGGGCTCAGGGTTGTGTTAGCAGATATCATATGGAAAATTTTCGCTTCCGGGAACAAGAGCAAATCGCAAGACGAGCCAACCTTGCGTTCACGCCCTCACTTTGACGGACAGTGGCAAAGTGAGGAAACTCGCCAGTGAATGATCAAACGATATCTCCCATTTTCCCGCCCCCCTGGCCTTCAATCGCCCTTTGTCAGGATTGCTCCAACCCCTTCTCGATACCTTAAATCAACTGTTACCTACGTCCCACCCCAGGCCTGGTCAAAAATGTCTGCCCCGCTTCCGCTAACTCCAGATCTCTCAAATACTCGTCCTCAACGCCGCCAGCATGATGGCAACTCTTCTCGAAACCAAAAACGCCGCCGGTTAGAAAGGGCCCCGAAGCCCGTCAAAGAGGGCGGAGCAGAGGAGGTTCTCCAGGCGGACATTTCTTCCTTGATGTCGACCTTGGGTCTCACACAGCCGGAAGTCCCTTCTTCAGCGCAGGACCTCCCTCCGGAATTTAGCGAGATAGAGCTCACGATAAAAACGCTCTCGTCTACCGGCGATGGTCTAGCAGAGCATAACGGGCGAATATACGTGGTTCCATTCTCTATTCCCGGGGATGTCGTCACAGCAAAAGTAATTCGACACACAACTACCCACTCAATCACCGACTTCCTCTCCGTGAAGAGCCCCTCCCAGGATCGTGATAATTCGCTCATCGGTTGCAAGTACTTCAGCACTTGTTCTGGCTGTCAGTTTCAGATGCTCCCGTACGCAAAGCAGTTGGAACATAAACGAAACGTGATTCAGAAAGCTTACGACAGCTTTTCTAACCTTGATCCGAAATTGTTACCAGGCATTGGAGATACAGTTGGAAGCCCACTGCAGTACGGTTATCGGACAAAGCTGACGCCGCATTTTGACGGCCCGCGGAGAGGAGGATTTAAAACTGGCGATCCGACACCAGACATTGGTTTCATGGTTAAAGGTCGGAGACAAGTGTTGGATATTGAAGATTGCCCTATCGGAACAGATATTTTGAGGGAAGGGATCAAAACTGCTAGGAAATATGTAGAGGAGAACCTCCATACTTACAAACGCGGCGCTACCATACTACTTCGAGAAAGCACAACTAGGAGACTAAGAGAGGAAGGCGAAGCAGGAAATACGAAATGGGTGGAAGAGAAAGAATGTATCACCGACAACAATGCTCAAACTACGGAATACATCGGGGATTACAAGTTTGTGAACCCGGCCGGAGCTTTCTTCCAGAATAATAATTCCATACTGCCAGCTGTATGTTTCCCACAATTTATCATGATCGTGTCATTTCACTGAGTCACTTAATTTCTCTTATACCGTACTAATTAATGAAGTTCACGGATTATGTTCGCTCGAAACTACATTACCCAGTACTCACCACCTCTCCCGATGGCACCAGAACCATCACTTCTACACCCCCGAAGTACCTAGTAGATGCCTATTGCGGAAGTGGCCTCTTTTCGATCATCTGTGGCAAAGATCTAACAGGCGTAATTGGGGTGGACATCGCCGCCGACAGCATAGCCTACGCAAGTTCTAACGCAGCTGCAAACAACATCGAAAACGCCCGCTTTATCGCCGGCAACGCGGAAAAAATCTTCGAATCAATAGACTTCCCCGGCACCGAAACTAGCGTGGTCGTCGACCCCCCGAGAAAGGGTTGTGATAAGTTGTTTCTGGACCAACTTTTGGAATTTAAACCGAAGAGGGTGGTTTATGTCAGCTGCAATGTGCATACTCAGGCGAGGGACCTGGGGTATATACTGAGTGGGAAGGGTGGTGGTTATAGAGTTGATGAAATTCGGGGATTCGACTTCTTTCCGCAAACGCACCACGTTGAAGGAGTCGCTACTCTTACATGGGTTGGCGAGGAAGGGATTGCAAACCTACTAGAGGAAGCTAATGATAAGTCAGGAGATTTACTATGAAACATTGTGACCCCCGCTCCAGTAACAAGGTCAATAGTAGGTTTTAATCATGAATACCTTACGGATTATACTTAGTAATTTAGAGAAAGACCGGTATCTTACGTAATTTCCACGAGCCATTTTCGGAGCTCCCACAACCTGCGCTACAGAGACCACAAGTACGGTAATTAGGTCGGATGTAACAATCTCATCACGTCTTCTCACTCGCTCCAAAAAAACCCTAACCCACTTCGCTAAACCTTAATCCAGCCGGAAGCTCATCACTTACGAACCAAGTTCAAAACCCAGTTTCATAAACCATCAACGCCTCGCTCCGTTGGACCTCCGGTATAATGACCAATGAACACTTCGAACCCCCTCTTGCTTCCCTCAGCGTTTCCCATGTCTACTACGTTCGTGCATTCCTTCATGTCTCCCCTATTCGCTGACTAACTGCGACCAACACCAGAACCCCGACGATCCAGTATCGCTACTGTGTGCATGGCTAGCCCTCCTCCCACAAGCCCTCGGTGTCTCGTACGCAACACTAGTGATCGCCCAACGCGAAATAGAGGTCCTACTTATGTTCGCGGGACAATTATCCTGTGAGGCGGTAAATTGGGCGCTCAAAAGATACTTCAAACAGGGCCGACCGAAACGTTTCACCCCTACCCCTATGTCTGATGAAGCTAACAAATGCGATTATAACCAGAGATGTATGGAAAAGGGTATGGAATGCCCTCCTCTCACGCCCAGTTTATGGCGTTCTTCGCAGTGTATTTTTCGCTCTGGATCCGTCGCCGGTCGAAGGGATTGAGTCCCGCGACGCGATGGGCACTCAGCGGTGGAATTCTGGTTGTATCGGTAATAGTAGCGCTGAGTAGAATTTACTTGTCCTACCATACAGTTGGTCAGGTCGCATGTGGGTATTTTGTTGGTGCGCTATTCGCGGTGGTCTGGTTTTTGGTTACGGCTTGGATGAGGGTCACAGATTTGGGTGGCAAAGGTGGAATGTTCGATTGGATTACGGGCGGAAGGAGGCTGTGGGAATTGGTTATGTGGATAGGGGGACTAGGTTATGTCAAAGATTTATGCACAGAGGTCGATATCGTGAGGTGGGAGTGGGAAGTCTGGAGACGAGGAGCGTTGGGGGTAATCGATGGGGCTAAGATTCTCCAAGATGAACTGAAAAAGAAATAAGTCAAGGCACGTTCATGCAGCTGCCATCGGTACGTATTTGAGGGGGTATATATATAGGGTGTACCGGTACTGATATCTGACTTGACTTAAGACCAGGAAGAATACCGCAGGAAGGATGGATGGGTGCTCCCGCACGACCACTCCAAAGGGAAAAAAGGCATAAGTTGAGATGAAGACAGCGAATGCCCGGCACGATATAGTAGAGACAGCAGATCTAGTAGCAAGTAATTTAAAAACATGTTATATTGTAATCCCACAAACCCACATATCTTAGATATAGATAGGCACGGTCCGTTCCAGCGTCGCGAGATTTCCGATACCGCCAGTACCCGCCAATTCTCGCGACTCCGGAATCTTGCGACACTATATCAATGGATGAAACCTTCACACGAGAAGTCATTAATTATTGCTATCACATACCACTGTTTGAACGACCAGGTTCTCTTTTCCCTACACTGCTGATAAACCATACCGTGCACCGATTTGTATAGCACAAACTCTGGGTTTTGGTAGCCGCGAATTGATGTGATTTACCCCACTATAAAAGTGCCTACGATAAACCTCCTTGGTGATTGTGTACGGCCTGCTAGAGCATTAATTAGTAACTCGGGTTTGTGACAACCAAATTATACTAAATTTGTTTTGTGGATTCCAAGAATCGAGTCCACTGATGGGATAGAACAGCAAGGTATTCTGAAAGTAGGATAGCTTGATTAAATGCGGTGCCTCCTCCCTAAGATGAACTGCCATCATACAGTAGCAATGAATGATGAGAACATAAAATTTACAATACAAACCACCCGACCTATAGTAGACATTTGCCGAAATATCTGCTAGGAAGCCAAACTGTTAAAAACGCCGATTTCTGGTATTCTATCAACACGGGGATTCTTTTCCCCTGTTGTTTGGATGGGTATCATTAGTTTTCCGTTTTCAGAGCGCCCAAACACCACAAAAAAAAAGAGTATGATAACAAGAAAACATTATATCGCCGAGTCATTCACTCATCCCCACTACTGGCTCCCTTCTCCTCCTGGGCATCACTCTCCCCCTCACTCTCAACCTCACTCCCAAGCAAGCTATCCCTTGGCTCCAACTCGTCGGCATCCTCGAGCATCGCCCGCGTCTTGATGTGCGGCAGCGCGATATCACAGACCCTCTCCTTGGTCAAGAGCTCATCAATGAACTCGTCAACATAAGTCATCCTCCAGCCGCCCATGCCACGAACCCTCAGCTTTCTATAATCCCCCATCAATGGCTCCAGCGTTCGGTAAATATCCGTAGCGCCCCACGTCAACCGTATGTAGAACGCCGCGAGCGCGCGAAGGTATTTGAAATCAGGGTCATTGAGATAGACTAGGATTATTTCGCGGCCGGGCTGAAGTTGCAGGAGCTTGAAGATGAGGCAGAGGAATGGTGTGGGCCGTTGGTTGGAGTACTGCCCACCAATGTACGTTAACTCGACCGCTCTGTCGAGTAAAGTCGCAGCTGTGTCGGGCAATCAGAAAGGGCGGGAAAGGATTGCAAAAAATAGCAGGAGAGTAGTTCTCACCGTTTAGGCCGAATGCTTGTTCCTTCCAGTATAAACTCTCAAAGATACGCTCGCGGATGATCTTTTCAACAAGCAGGAGAGGGTTAACGCCATGGAAAGTTTGGCCAGTGTAGTGACCTCGATTATCGAGGAGTGCTTTCGCGTCGGCTAAGTGAGCCATCGGGTTTTCGCTGGCTGGTATAATTGATCGGTGGAGTTAGTTCAAGAGAAGCCTCCAGTAGTTGACCATCCGGAGCCACATCCATAGGACGGTTGCTGCAAACCGGGTAATGTCTCGGAACTGAGTGAGGATATATGATCCAATTGCTGAAATTCCTATTTTCTTACAACATAGCTACCAAGCGCTAATAGCTCAGTTGGGAGAGCGTCAGACTGAAGTTCACTTCAGCACAAGACTCGGGGTAATCTGAAGGTCACCCGTTCAATCCGGGTTTGGCGCAATTTTTTTTCCGTTCCAAAAAAGTTGACCAGGCAGGGCTTACTTCGCTCAGGACTCGCTCGCCATTACGAGTAGAATCAATTTCCTTTCTACTAGTATCATAAGGTGGCAAATGTCTGTAATTTGGTGTAAAAAAACTTTTCGAGAAATATATCTTACAGCTATGGTATCCTGGCAGACCTAATTGCCGATGCCTTTCGAACGAAAGAATTTACTCCAGGCTCTCTTTCACTATGCCCTCCCATGTCATATTGTGCAACGTTGCTAGCCTGTCATATTGTTCATATAGGATCCTAAGTTCGGCCTCTAGCGCTTCGGTCTTGTGTTTTGGTGCCAACGTAGGCCTATAAGCCGCCATCTCATCTGCCTGTTGCTGTAGTGTACGTAGGTCGCTCTCTGGCGAAAATGAACTTGACAAGTTGACTGGCGTGGACGCCAATGGGGAGGTAACCACCCCGGGAAGAGAGGGTGTAAGCAATTTTGTTGAGGCAGCATATCCGCAGAGGTCGGGAGTCGAGGATGATGCAATGGCATCATAGCGAGGCTTTGATATGTTGGTTTGCTGATGTTTCTGCTCCGAAATTTCTGGATGCACAGGCATGAAGCCGGTTGGAGGAAGGATTTTCAAACTCGCGATACTTGCTAGTAACTATGAGCACATTCCCCTGAATCTTAGTGTTTACGGAGTCTGAGCGGTACCTTTGAATTTAACAAGACTCCGAAACATATGGCCCGTCGCAACGTCCCAGACGCAAACATCTCCGTTCTCGTTCCCCGAAACAACATAGTTTCCTTCAAAAACTACGTCTAGAGCGGTTATGATACCTCCAGTGCCAGAAGCAATCCAACGCTTCTCAGGCAATGTAACGGGTATGTCCCTAAATCCTGTGGTGAATAGCGGATTTGAGGCAGTATCATCCACACCACCGGTTGGGTTGAAGAAGTCCACACATTGTATTCCTCCATCTTCCAGCCCCGCGTAAAATGCTCGATCTACGGGGTCAGTGGCAAGACACGTCGGAATCGAAGAAAAGATGTAAGTTCGCAGATGTGTGCCGGTGTGGAAGTCCCAGGCGGCAACAGACTGATCCCGGGAGGCCGTGAGTAGAATATCGGAAGGCCCACCAGCTGCCGCTCTCCCGGTAGCAAGCGCTGTAATCTCTCGAGTGTGTCGATCCAGAATATGTAAAGGCGAGCGTTCGCCAGTTCGTATGTCGAGGAGAGCAGGTATCGACCAGACATACACATTACTATCGGCAGAGCCAGTGATAACAAAGTTCGAAGAGCAGTCAAAGACTATGCTGGTAACTTTCTGGAGGTGAGCCTGTTGAGTAGATATATATCGCCCTGTAGCAGTCTATTCTCATTAGAATTCTCTCCGGCCCAGAAAGCATTTCGAACAAACCTCCCAAAGCATCAGTCTTCCATCTTCAGTTCCTCCAGCAACAATTTCCTTACTGCCAGCCTCAAGAACAGTAAATCTTTCTTTGAAGGGAACTGTAGTCTCTAAATTTCCTTTCTCTCGACTGTATATGTTCACAACTGCCTTATCGCTTTGTGCAGCAAATAGATGTGAATCTGTTACTGCAAGGCAATTCTTAGCAGTTGTGGATCGTTTGAAGACGGCAATTTGGGAGTATGTGTGCAAATCGTAAATGGCAATCGCAGGTTCTACTGTTGCAGTACTAGAGGTGTCTGGTGTTGGGCGGAAGGTTGAGATAACCACCTGCTCGTTGAGCATATTGTTGCTGCTGTTGGAGGGGGGGTTGGTTGGACAGATTTGTTCTGGAAGCTTTTTCAGGAAGGATCAGACTCGGATAACGCTGAGGCTCATGCGGCTCTGCTTGCACCACGCATGACTACTCATGCAGGCTCTACAGTACCGGTATCCACCCAATTTTATTCTGAAAATTCAACCCATCAACACCTGCTGTAGCTGTCAACAACGAATAAAAACCATCCCGAATGGCGCCCGCCACAAAAAAACGCCGAACCGGGATTGAGGGAGATTGTGAAGTTAGAGCCAAAGAGACTATCGGCGGGCTCTCTTCAGAAGAAGCAATGGAGGATATTTCCAAGGAGGAGGACGACATTGGAGGCCGAACCCTTGAGGCGGAATCACGGGCAGGAAAACCCCCCAAACACCCTTCTTCTGAGCAGGAAAAAGCGCAGGCTGTTGGCGAGAGTTACGAATCCAAGTCCAGCATCTTCCGAATGGAAACTGAGGAAATGCTCTCAGAAATACGTGTGGACTATCGCAAAAGAATGGCGCCCGTAGAAAATATGCTGCACAAGCTTAGGAATATCATCGAAAAGATACCGCGCAAGACAGACACCACTGCAAGTATCCTGAGTCACTTATACCTCCTGGTTGTGCTAACCATTCGTAGATTGACGAGGTTGAGGGAGAGATGCAAAAGCTCGAAATCCGTATCCCATTCCCGGAGCCGAAGCCGGGGGCAGACATTAAGTACAAGTTCTCGTATGAAAAGCCGGCATACATGAATATCGCGGGGAGTTATGCGCTTAGGACTGTCGCAAAACAGCGTGAAGGCTTTGCGATTGATCTGATTCTTCAGATGCCCCCAGTGTGTATACCTTGTTCACTGCGCCTGTAGAAACTAACTGGTGATCAAGACCATTTTCCAAGAGAAAGACTACCTGAATTACCGGTATTTTCACAAGAGGGCTTATTACCTTGCTACAATTGCGAGCGCTATTCAGGGCTCTGGGCTGGATTTACAACTTTCTTATTCTGATCTTCACGGCGACCCTCTAAGGCCTATCATTGTGGTCGCCCCAAGTGGTAGTAAGTAATTCTAGGTGTATGCACGGTGATTTAGCTAAGCAAGACACAGGTAACAGTGAAACGGATTTCACGGCCTCAAAGTGCCTCATCCACATTATTCCTGCTATATCCAAGAACACTTTTTCACTCTCTAAGCTGCGTCCTGATAAAAATGCAGTAAGACCTGTTGCAGACACAGTCGGCGGCTCAGTCCCACCAACCCCTCAATACAACTCTTCAATTTTGGCCGATACAACTTACCTCGGGCATCTCGCGCAGCTACACGAAATGTCCTCCGAAGCCAAGGCTTTCAAAGATGCCTGCCTTCTGGGTAGAACATGGCTTAAGCAACGTGGATTTAGTTCCAACATTAGCCGAGGAGGATTTGGTCATGCGGAATGGTCAATATTGATGTCACTACTGCTAAAAGGTGGTGGCAGCAAAGGGAATAGCATTCTTGCAAAGGGGTATAGCAATTACCAGATGTTCAAGGCTATGTTGCAGTTTCTGGCCACTCATGATCTAATAATGAACCCGCTACTCTTTGGCGTAGAGTTAGGGAGTGTGCTGTGGCCTAAAGGACCTAACGTGTTTGATGGGAAATTTGGATTGAACATATTATTCAAAATGACAGAGTGGGGATATCATCTGGTAAATTCTATCTAACCTCACCAACTGATATAATACTGACCCGAATAGTTAAAACACGAAGCAGAAATAACACTAAAGCTCCTGGGTGATCCATTAATCGATCATTTCGAAGAAATTTTCTTGCACAGGCTTGATGACCCCTGCTACAAATTCGATACGCTCGCATATATTCCAATTCCGGAGCGCCTTGATAAAGATAGCGGGCTTAATCCCCTGCTCTCGTTTTCCCAAAGACTGTACGATATGTTATCCATAGGTCTTACCGATAGGGCAAAGCTCATCCATTTGACCCTTCCTTCCACTTCAGCTCAGCCGGTTAGAGTTAATGGAATCAATCAGAGTATTGCACCGGCCAAACAAATAATTGCTGGCTTCCTGCTCAATGCAGCGCAGTGCAACCGCACTGTTGATCACGGGCCTCCGGCCGGCCACAAAGACGGTGCCTCATATCGTGCCTTCTGGGGGGATAAAGCTGAACTCCGTCGTTTCAAGGACGGGAGTATACTTGAGAGTGTAGTGTGGTGCACGAAAGATTCGAAAAAATCTATATATAATCAAATCATTCAATACCTGGCGACCAAAAACCTCGGCGGTGAAATAGGCACTCACGTCAAATTTATTGGAGACGAATATGCAAATGCGGTTGGAGGTAGAGGGGGCGTTGGCTTATTTCAACCTACTATGGCGGCATTCGAGAACCTCATTAAAGCGCTCAGGAATCTTGAAGGGCTTCCATTGGCCATTCGGCAGGTTTCCGCCGCAGCACCAGCATTACGATATTCGAGCGTGGAAGTGCCACTCTTCTCATCCGGTCGGCTAATGCAGCCCGCAGACGTGGTTGTTCAGTTCGAAAGTTCCGGTCGATGGCCTGACGATCTAATCGCCGTTCAAAAAACCAAGATCGCATTCCTCCTTAAGATGTCCGAGCTTCTAGAAAAGTCTGGTACCGTCACTCGCATTGGGCTAGAAAATATCGACTACCCGGCAATGAACTCGGCATTTCTAGAGGTCGTCTATCACGAAGGTTCAGCATTCCGGATTCGGATCTACCATGATCGCGAGCAGACACTTCTAGAGCGACAGCTCTTGAACAAAGATCTTCCGGGTAAGAAGCGGGATGAGATCACTGCAGCGCTTTCGGAACATCGCAGAAGGTTCATTGTTGGCCCACTTCACACCCAAGAAGTACAGAAGCTATCTCACCGCTTCCCAGCTCTCTCCCCCAGCATCCGCCTACTCAAGAAGTGGTTTCAAACACATCTCCTGTCAAGAGAGGTTTCGGATGAGCTCGTTGAACTAATGGCCATCCGTACATTCGTTGCCACTTCTTCTCCACCGAATAGCGTCATGAGCGGATTCCTCCGAACATTACGCTTCATTTCGCTGTGGGATTGGCGATCTGAGCCGGCTATCGTTGGTGCAGTTGCTAAAAACACCTCAGAAACCTTCGGCGCAATACGAACATCCGATCCTGCTATGAACAGATATGTGATGGTTATCCCTACCGAGTATGACCCTACGGGGACTACGTTCACGGAATCTGGCCCGAGAAAGGTTGTTGCGGCAAGGGTTACTTCTTTGGCAAGGGCTGCCGTTGGCGCTAGTTTTAAGGTTTACTTTCTACAATCGCCTTACCTTCTTCACAATGATCTAATCTATAGCATGTAGGATATGTTTGTTTCTTCAACGAGGGACTACGACTTCGTAATGCATATCGAACCTAAATACACTCTATCTGGTGTTCGCTCGAAAGGCTCAAAGTTCAAAAACCTACAGAAGACCGAAATAACTTCTCAAGATATTGCCAAGTTAGGCCTAAACGTTCCTGAGACCTTTGTCAATGAGCTTAATGTAATTCCCTACTTGATTGTTTGACCCTCACCCACACTCCTGATCATACGTTGACCGAGATAGGATATCTACGGAGATACCATCATCTTTTTTACGGACGGAAATATAATAGCTGGGCTCTGGAATCCTTCATCCGCGAGTGGAAGGAGATGGAAAGTTAACATCCCATATTCTACAATTCCACAGGTGGGGAGGAATGACGAAGAAGTTTTGAAACTGAACAAGATGTCGATATTAAACGAGATTTCGAGACTCGGGGGAGAAATCCTTGCAAAAATCGAAATCATAAAAAAGTAGTGGTACCCACAAAATAGGAAAAACAACTGTTCATTCCCGCTTTTCTATTGTTTCAGCCATCGCCAGCTCCTATGAATAGTGCATAAATAGTACGGTACTGTACAAGTATCATACTTGAGCGCAGGTACGCGAGTGATATCACGTGAAAATAAGCTCATCGGCTTATGTAATGTGGCCTTCCAAGCGTCATTTGAGCCAGCTCGCCCGCAGAAAAAAAATAACTCCGAATAGCAAACCCGAGCGGACTCTAATTCAACCTCACCTCCCGAAACCCTCCAGACCCCACAAGCAATTCACCCAACATGGCTGCGGATAAAGCTCGGCTCTATATGGAGCAATCGCTCCCTGAGCTTCAAGAACTCAAAAAGAAGAAAATTTTCACCGAGGTGAGCGCTGTAGCCCTCCTACCCATGCCAACAAACTAACAATGCTCAGAAAGAAATCAGTGATGTGATCAAGAAGCGTAATCAATTCGAGTTACGAGTCAATGCCTCAGGATGCAATGCCCAGGATTACATCCGCTATCTTGAATTCGAAATCAACCTCGACCAACTCCGCAAGAAACGAGTGAAGCGACTAGGTGTCAAACTAAACCGTAATGCGGGCTCGGGCCAGCGCAGGATATTTTTCATCATGGATCGGGCTACTCAGAAGTTTTACGGAGATCAGGCGCTGTGGATGCAGTATATTGAGTACGCCCGGAAGGAGAAAGCTGGGAAGATACTTAATAAGGCTCTTATGAATGTTCTCAGACTTCATCCTACAGAGTCGCAATTCTGGATCTTTGCAGCGTCATGCGCAATTGAGGACAATATGGACATTACGGAGGGTAGAAGTTATCTGCAGAGAGGGTTGAGGTTCAACAAGGCTTCGAGGGTGCTCTGGGTAGAGTATGCGAAGTTGGAGATGGTTTTCGTTGCGAAGGTGCTCGCTAGAAGAGCATTGCTGGGGATTGACGGGCCTACAGTGGACGAATATGGGGCTGGGGAAGAGGACGGTGATGGAAATATCAGGTTACCGCAAATTTCGGCCGAAGATATCGATCCCTCTTTAAAGAAGGACCACTCCCTCGATACGGCGGCTTTGGAAGATGTAGAGGCAAATCCAGCTCTCAACGGTGCTGTTGCATTGGCCATATTCGATTCGGCGGTTAGAGAAATTCCGGACGACGTCAAATTTGCTGAGGATTTTTTCAGCGTCTTTGCACAGTTCGGTCACCTACGTTGCGGGGTGAAGATCCTTGAGCATGTCATTGCCTATAGTCAGGAGATCGCCCCCACAGCTCCCCAAACACTCTCCATGTGTGTCAGACTGCCTTTACTTGGGGCCGACCCCACCGAACCAATCTTCCCCAGCCGCCTTCGAGCTGCCATTTCCGGGATGGCCGAGGCTGTGAAAATCGCCCGGGCAAAAGCGCCCCTATACGCGTCCTTCGTAAAATCTATGGTTTGCATAGCGACCCTCCAGGAAGTGGATTCAGACATCCGCAAGATCACTACATCGATGGCGTTGAAGTACTTCCGGCAGGCAGAAGAGCAGGGGGAAATCACCCCCGAAATATATCTCTATTTCGCAGAGCTGTGTGAGAAGAGCAACATTAACGGTGTAGATATCAAGGGAACTTTAGAAAGGGGGGTTTCCAAATATCCCAATCACGATAGGTTACAGGTACTTGCGTCCCGATCTCGATCTCCAAAGGGGGCTATTTGAAGAGGAGTACATTTCGCAGGAAGGTTATATTTCTATGTATTAAAACTCATCCCTACCGCCTTTTCTCGAAGTCTTTTTCGAGCTATTCGCCTTTTTCTCCCTCAACCTCTTTTCCTTGCCATCTTTTTCTCTGTACATAGATTAAGCTCAGTATAGCTCTCCGAAGTCCTATAATGCAGGGTGAACGTACAACTTTTCAATTCGCTTCTTAGTATCTTCGCTCGTCTCACCAGGCACCTGGACACACTCCCTGATACTGGTATACAACTTGCGAAAGCAATTCTCGATATTTTCGACTTGTTTCCTCGAAGAGTCCGACCGAATGATAATTTCATTATTGTTGGTCAAGTGCTTCGACTGTTTCACACAATCTGATCAGAAAGTCTCTAGCAAACTACTTTGGAGAGCTAGCCCCACCTTTTTCAGAACCTCATCGAGCACGTATGGCGGAATAAAATCACCCTTAGTAGATAAATCCAGTTTGAGGGTGACTTTGGAATTCACTCTACTCCATGTTAGTAACAAGTCCACCCACAATGGGAGGTTTAAGTCTATACTTGTTCACGTTCTGCCCGCCTTAGGAGGAAAAATTAGCCTCACGATCTGAAATTGTAGGTGACAATTCTCACCGGGTCCTGAAGCTCTTGAGAATACTAGATCACAATTTTTTCGTGGGATCGATTCGGGAATGAACTCTGCAAGCCATTTCCTTTTCTGTTTAATCTGTTCCTCCTCCTTCCCACTCGGGCTCTTGTATGCCCCCCATAATGCTTTCCTAGCGTTAACTGCGGGGAACCGGATAGGAATTGTTGGACGGCGTACGAGAAACATTGGCCCGTGAAGCCAACCCAGTATGCTATCATACCAGTATGATTCTGTATCAAAACAGAAACCCCCAGAACACAGCGAGATCCTAGTTGTCCGGGTTGATCTGGGGTTAGGGTAATTACCGGCAAGTGCCAAGATAAAGAGGCTTCATTCAACTCTAATCTATCGCAGAGCCGCATTTATTTATTTTTCTTCCGTCTTTCGACCCTTTCGACGCCAAAGATGCCAGAACCAACGAGTTTCGCAGAGCTTGGAATTGAAAGATGGCTTGCCAATTCCTTAGGCGCAATGGCGATCCGAAAGCCGACACCGATCCAGGCTGCTTGTATTGGGCCCATTCTCGAAGGCATTTTCTCGCTCCATTTTCCACCATGGGAAGGCACCACTGACAAGAGTGTAGGGAAGGACTGCATCGGAGGGTCGCAAACCGGCTCAGGAAAAACTGTTGCATTCGCGGCGCCCATATTACAGATGTGGGCCGAGGATCCATTTGGCGTTTTTGCCCTCATTCTGACCCCGACCAGGTATTGACCTTTCTGATGGAGATATGAGTGATGAGAGGTCTATCCTAAGAAAACTTTTAGAGAACTGGCCCTTCAGATCGTCGAACAATTCAAAGCTCTCGGAGCGCCGCAGAATCTAAAGGTTTGCCTGTTAATTGGCGGAGCAGACATGAACGAACAAGCGCTATCGCTAGCCACTCGCCCACACATTGTCGTCGCTACCCCAGGGCGTCTGGCGGATCATATTCGGTCTTCTGGGGAAGATACAATCTGTGGGCTCAGGAGGACAAGAGTGGTAGTTCTTGATGAGGCGGATAGAATGCTCAGCGAGACCTTCGCGGAGGATCTAGAGGAATGTTTAAGCGTCGTTCCGAAGAGTGGCGTTTACGGGAGGCAGACATTGCTGTTCACTGCTACTGTAACGCCAGAGGTAAGGGCGCTGAAGGAGATGGAGAGAACAAATGGTCGACGGGGGGTGTTCATTTGCGAGGTTGATACTGATAGGTGTGTTCCGGAATCCTCACGGACAATATGCAGGCGGGCTTACCTGTATCGGCACTGCCAGATTAGCCATCCCCCCAAGTCTCTCACAGAAATACCTTCTTCTCGTTCCCCACACTCGCGAGGCCTACCTCCATACTCTCCTAACTACCCCGCTCAATGAAAATAAGTCTGTAATAATTTTTACAAACAGAACGCATACTGCAAACCTCTTAACGCACACGCTTAGGCAGCTATCTCACCGCGTAACACCGCTGCACAGTGAACTCCCTCAAAGGGAGCGAATCGACTCACTCGGCCGTTTTCGTGCCGAAGCGGCGCGTATCTTGGTTGCGACAGACGTTGCTTCTCGTGGTCTCGACATACCAGTGGTTGAACTAGTCGTCAACTTCGATGTTCCAAGAGATCCAGACGACTACGTGCATAGGGTTGGCCGAACAGCGAGAGCTGGGAGAGGTGGCGAGGCAATCACTTTTATCACCCAATACGACATCTTGCTTATCGAGGCAATCGAGAAGAGGACTGGTAGAAAGCTCGAAAAGTACATTGATGAGCCTGGTGTTAGTCTGGAGGGAAGAGTTGTCAGAGAGATGCTCCAGGAGGTCAGTGAAAAGAAACGAGCGGCTGTTATGGCAGTGGAAGAGGGTAAAAACGAGTACGGGAAGAGGAAGCGGAAGCTGCAGGATAAAGCGAACAACTTGGGTAGCAAGAGGAAGAAGGATGCCCGGTAGCAGTATCATGGCTTAGCTCTAGGTGTTTGGGTTCTTTGTACAGATATTACTGCATTTGTTTTTTTGGGGTTTCCGGTTGACGCTCAGCTGCTCGGTAATCAACTACAATAGAATCCCCAAATTGGGAATGGGTCCTCAATCAGATCTAAAAAGGTGAAATCTATTCGAATAAGACGGCTCCTCGAGTTGACATCACACGAGTAACCTGCAGTGCGAGTAGTGTCTCCACCGCGCATCAAGCAAAATTTCCGCCTCGAGTGCGATCTGGTGAACAGCGGCTGTCAATCATGTTAGTGGGGGTGGGGTTAGGGTTCATGTTAAGAACATCGCCGCCACCACAGTTTGATATTCCACCTCTCGCCCAAGCACCGGACACCAACCACAATACCCTTCATCCCCTGGCCCCCTACTGACCCACCAGCCTCTAGCCGCGAGCTCGGAGCACATCATAAATGGTAAATCCCTTGCATATCTCTTGCCAATAATTAACGGTGTTTAGTCTCAATCTCTCCGCCCGTACCTGAAATGTGTTCGCTCCTCCCTCACCGCCGCAATAACCCTCAGCAACTTCGCTAGCCAGACGGCGGAACGTCACAACGTTCCGGAAGTCGAAGCTGCGAAATCCCCCGAGGTTCTCCTCAACCCTCTCACCGTGTCCCGAAACGAGAACGAACGCGTATTGATAGAACCGAGTGTGAATTCTATCCGCGTGAGCATCAAGATCAAGCAAGCGGATGAAATCGAACATATCTTGGTCCATAAGTTCACCAGGTTCTTGACCCAGAGAGCGGAGAATTTCTTCATTCTGAGGAGGAAGGCTGTGAAGGTGTGTTTGGAATCCTGATGGCCATTTGGGAAAACTATGGACTCATCCAAGCTTAGGGATACGATATCTCGTTCTTGATCACCAATTTCCATACGGAGGATATGCTCAAGCATAAACTGGTAGATTTTATTATCCATTTCATGGAGGAGGTTGATAAAGAGATATCGGAGATGAAATTATTTGTACGGGCCCTTACCAATTGCTCACTGGCTACACGCTAACTGCCGAGTAGTTGAATGCGAGAGCTCGTTTCGTCGCGGAAGCCTTTTTGACCCCAGTAGGTCTCATCTTTGTTCGCGCTGGATGACCACTGACAATCAACAGTTTGATTAAATGGTACAAAAGTTGTTTCGTTATTGTTTTTCTTTCTCTCTAGACGGTAGGGCGGGTGTTTGGAATATACCAAGAAGGGCGAATAGTCGACGAACGTCTGTGCCGGTCTTCGAGGGGCCGCGGGATGTTGTTGGAATCGCACGCCGAGCTGGTCGGGAGCGTCTGTTTGAGCTGGAAAGTGGTATTTTGACTAGTATCCAATACCGAATGCATCATGCCCCCGGGCGCCCTTCTTCGGCGAAGCCCTGGAAAATGTAAAATTGGTACCTTAATCTCCTGTCTACAAAGTGGACAACAGTATCGTAGCAAAGGGACCCTCCTCCAGAAATGGCGAGAAGAAAAAAACCAACAAATCATTACCATTCCATCGGCCGCTACTAATACGGGAGCACAGAAGAATACTATCTACCCTTCTCATCAGTCATACAAATTATTGTCTGTCTGTCTTCAGTACATTGCAAACGAAAAATAAAAAACAAGAAAACTATGGCGCAATCTAGGTGATGATACAGCAGGAGTTTTGCTTCTTGGCCTACGTTTCCGAATGGTATCGATTAGTGCACATCTTTATTGTCTGCTGCAAACATGGGATGACTATACCTGTGTGTAGAACATTTTAGAGGCAGAGCTCAGGCCCTCGCTTCTTTGTACCAAGCTGTCAATCTTCTCCCCACGTTCCAAAACGCTTTCAATAGTTTTATGCAGCACGATCTTTGTTTCATCAAGCTCCTGCTGAATCCTCATGATGCTATCCGCCTGCTTGGGATCCTGGTACTTGACAATATATTCTGCGAGAGCAGGTAATTCCAACCGAGGGGTACCCTCCGCCCACTTGGGGCGAGGATGCATTGTGAGAAAGTCGTCGACGACCTGGGACAGGAGTTTGTGTGCGACAAGCTTCGGATAATCGTGGTCAGAGATAATCACCCCAGCTATCCCTTCCGAACGACCGTACGCGTGGAAGGTGTACGCTATTGCCCGGTCAGCAAGCGCCGGTGGAAGAGAGGAGAGCTTAAGCCGTACATTGTTCCTCAATATCCTGACGGGAAGCAGGCCCCGTACGTTCCGCGACGGTGCCGGAAAACATGGTTAGAAATTCGGAGACAGTGGATCGCTGGAAGAAGGAAAAGGAATTAAGGTCCTTCACCGATACCAGCTCATGGGCTGGCTTGGGTGCATTGCGGATTACCTAGGGGTTTGGTTAGCTTGGGTCTATTTCTCCCCTTCTTTCTCACCCGCCCCCCCCCTTTGCTCAGTTAGGAGGCGCACGTACACCGATATAGTAAATTTTCATCGCTACCGATTAAAGCGTTCTTTCTCCGGGGATAGCGAGTCTCGAGGTTTGTTGATGTTGGAGAAGCGAGGAGGAAGGCGAGTGTTTGTTTGCTTGCTTGGAGGTTTCGGTTCTTGGTTCTTGGAGGGATGGCTTCTGGGTGACACGGCGCGAGTACGGTAGGGGCTCGGCCTGTTGGACTGCTGAACCGCCACACATTAGTAATGTTTCAGCCCGTCACACGGGAGATCCGACAGGCAACCTGTTCCCCCGTGACTACTGGTATCCCTTCCTCTACCGGTAAATTACGCTCTTTAAATTAGTTCCCAAGATTAGGAATAGTTCAAGTGTACGAGTAACATTCGTGTATTGTACCGGTAATGCTCGAGTAGATGTTTTCTACCGGTCAGGTCATAGCAGGAGCTCCCAGGCCATACAGTACTACCTTTGGTACAAAATCTGAGGCTAAACCAGGCCATCAGCCCCCCTAAAGAGCTGCGAAATGGGGCGCACACAGATTCACGTAAGGGATTAGGGGCGCATTACGCGTACCGTACCGGTGTGATACGGTAGATCGCCACTTGTTTTCGAAAGGGCCAGAGTCGCAAAACACGAGTTGCACTCCAGTTTGGTTGAGCCGCCTGCTGTGCCCCTCCTGTTCGTCGCCCCTACGAGCACGGTACATGCGGTACTCGTATACTATGGATCACGGGATATCGTACTTGTATCACAATAGCACTCCCCACGCCACTTACTTTCCATGGTACGGTACCGGTGCTTGCTCTTTCCTTTGGCACACTTGCCGGTAGCGAAACCCCCCCAGAGTCGTTGCTTGCTTGTAAAAATTTGCGGCTATGGAGTCGTGGCGCATGGGAGCAGCCTGCCAACGTGGCTTCAATCCTCCCCATATCGAAAACCCTCTTCTGGATCCTCACTTGTTAACCAACGGCCCGTACAGTTAACCTTGGTTTTCGGCATGTAGGTGAGCCATCCCAAACCTATCCGGATACCATCCGAGGTTTGAGGGCCCTATTACGAAAACCATTATCGAATCTCGGGCTTACACTGGCAAGTGGGGCACGGTTTACGGCAAGCAGTGTTTCTCAAACCGTCGGATTTACTGGTTTTTTTGCAGGCCCACTGATACCAGTATGCATTGCTTAATGAAGGGAGCAGGTTATGTTACGAGTACCGCGCTGTGATGCTCTACTGTAGTACTGGAATTGGGTGACCGCTCTCACTAACAGACAATAGCCGCTAATGGAAGAACCCCTCCTCGTGAGATCCCTAAGCGCGCCCTTTGGATTTATATTCTAGGGGCGGGTATGCCGATGGGATATCCGATTCACGCCACAACCCTCCTGACACCAGGAACGATAGCGCCTGGGGGCTGAAGTAGAACTACCGGTATTGAGGGCCTTGCGCTTAGGCTACATGCTTGTACTAGTGCTCCACGGGGTTTGACCGTGATGGTTTGTACTAGTACAGTACTCGGGCACTCAATCCCATGATTGCATCACATGGCAGCATGGTACTCGAGCCAAAGGTTCAGACATGAAAAAGTGATACGAGTGCATAGCAAGCGGTGGATGTTGACTTTGGTGGGAGCTAGTGGTGCTCGTATGATACAGTAAGAGTACTCCCCAACAAGAATGTCGTGAGGCGCAAAACCTCCATTGCTCAACGAGCGCCCGGAAAGATTGACAGTAGTATTGAACCGGAGGCCACCCCATCCCTCAATTTTCTCTTTGAATTTACAAAGGAGAGGGGGGGATAGAGATCCCATCAGGGCCATGATTCTCATGTGTACTAGCACTGTACGAGTACAGCTGCTAGTTATGCGCCGTGGTGACATTATTTTATCCCCAACCTTTGCACTCGCACAAGCATTAAACCAACCACTCCTGTCCGCCATGAATACGGTGCTTTCCCATCCCTTCGTTTGTACCTGAATCTCACGACCTACTCGAGTATACCCGTACCGTTTAGTGCATAATCCGCCCCCCGATCTCCGAGGACTACGTTACCAAAGGCATGGCTTTGGTCACTTGGTAGTGTCCTAGCCAATGGAATCTGCAGCATGACCCCTGGAGCCAATTGATCGGTCTCCCCTCAACTGGTGATACCAACATCGAGCATGGGGTCCTGGAAACCAGTATCATGCAGAAGCGGGGATATAATAAGATCGGGGGTTTTTCGCGCAAATGATGCACGCAGGAAAGGGATAAAACGGGACTCGCCGGCTATTTTGTATGGGAATTGCCACTCTAAATGTCCAACATCAACTTTGCCGCGCGATTATTAGCGCGGCCGAGCTAAAATTGGAAACTTTGAAGGGAAGTACTCGAGTACCGCAGACCAGTGCTTCCAGTCGTCCAGTCTG